GAGCCAGCCTGGGAGGGATGGGAAACCCCTGTGGATCCCCCAACTGGCGCAGAGAAGGGCTGCCCGGATGACGGATGTGAGTGCCCGTCAGGGCCTGGCCCTTCTGCAGTGCCAAGGGGCGAGGGGAGAGATGAGGCAAGGCTCTCTTTTGGGGCCAGGAGAAAGGCGTAGGTACCCTGCTACTCTGTCCCCGAGCCGCAATCCTGCTCTGCGGCTCCCCGCTGATCCCCCTTCGCGCACGTATGCGCATGCGCGCAGCCTGCCTGCCGCGAAAGGCGCGGCTATCTCGTCAGCCCAGCCAGGCAAGCCGGCGCATGCGCAGGAGTCGCGGCTCGACGGCCTACAGAGGCTCCGGAGTCAGAGAACGCGCGGCCCCACCGGCCATGGCGTGGCGACATCTCCTACCTGCTACCATCCGGCTCCGGCTGCGAGTCAGGAAGAGGATAAGGCCGACAAGCAGAGCCGCCGCCACCAAGTACACTACCGGGGCCACCATGACAACGGCTTCCAGGTGGAACCAGCCAGCGCGTCCAGCCTGAGGCCCGGGATCTCCCAGACCCCGCCTAACGCCCATGTGGCCCCTCCCGTTTCCCATTCTAGGCTCCGCCCACCACTCGGCCCCGCCCAGGCCGCACACTTAATTTAGAGGCCCTAATTTTTTTCTCAATATGCTGTACAGCAATGAATGAATGAATGAATTAGCTGTATAGCAAAGTGATTCAGCTATACATATATATCCTTTTTTTTTTTTTGGCCTTGCTGCGCAACTTGCAGGATCTTAGTTCCCCAGCCAGGGATTGAACATGTGCCCTTGGCAGTAAAAGCAGAGTCCTAACAACTGGGCTGCCAGGGAATTCCCTACTTTTCTTTTTTTTTTTTAATATTCTTTTCCATTATGGTTTATCATAGGATACTGAATATAGTTCTCTGTGCTATAGGAACACAGAAGATAGGAGCTTGTTTATCTATTCCATATATATCAATAATAGCTTACATCTGCTAACCCTAACCTCCCACTCCATCCCTCCCCCAAACCCTCCCCCTTGACAACCACAAGTCTGTTCTATATGTCTGTGAGTCTGTTTCTGTTTCATAGATAGGCTCACTTGTCATATATTAGATTCCACATATAAGAGATATATGGTATTTGGCTTTCTCTTTCTGACTTACTTCACTTAGTATGATAATCTCTAGTTGCATCCGTGTTGCTGCAAATGAGAGGCCCTAATTTTTAACTTTAAAATGAATTCTGGGGGAGTAAAAAAAGTTAAGTGGAAATTATTGCAAATGATTATGTGCAGCGTGACATTTATGTATGTTTTAAAAGCATTAAATAATACCACAGTGTTTATGGAAGCACACATATGCAGAAAAAGTAAAAAAGATGCTTGGGAATGACACATACCAACTTCAGAATAGCAGTTACCTTTGGGGAGGGAAAAAGTTGGATGGCATTAACAGCAGAGCTTTGCCTGTATCTGTGACATCTGATCTCATTAAAAGTAGAGACCAAATCTTCAAAAAAATAAATTGTAATATACTTTTGTACTCAGACTTGCAATTTTAAAGTAACTTATTGGGTTGTACAAGAATTACTGATCCAGTTTTCCATAGTGAGCACTAGGAAATTAAATACTCACAGGGAATTTAAATTTTCTTTTAATTCTTGACACTGTTAAAAAAGAAAAACAAAACTGGGACTTCCCTGGCAGTCCAGTAGTTAAGACTCAGCACTTCCAATGCAGAGGGCGCGGGTTCGATGCCTGGTCTGGGAACTAAAATCCCACATGCCATGTGGTGCAGCAAAAAAAAAAAAAAAAAAAACCAACAAACAAAAAAAAAACTGGGGACAAATTCTACCTCAATAAAGTTGTGTAAAAAAAAACCTAGGGACAGGATGTAAACTCAAGATTTTTTAAAAAGCAAAGAACAACTAAACTACTAGGAATTTGCTATTACAGTAGTATGAAGATTTTGTGTGTATGATGACATAAAGATCCCAGGACCCATGATGTGTGTGTAGGGAAGGATTTGAAAAAATATGGACACATGTTAACACTTTAACATGTGTTAAATTGGAATGGTGGGAACTTGAGCATTTATGATTTTCTGTAATTTTGAAATAGTTCATAATTTATAAACAAGCAAAAAGGGCAGGACAGTGCTTTTAAAACATATAAATGTTGATAATCGTTAAAGCTGGTCAGTGGTTATATAGGGGCTCATTATACTGCTTTTTTTTTTTTTTGGTAAGTTTGACATTTTTGTGCAAGTTTGAAATTTTCCATAATAAAAAATATTGTTAAAAAGTAAAAATTAAGACTTGATACATTTTTGTGTGTAATTTGCATGTGCACAGAAAGTTGTTTGGAAGGGTGAAACAAGAAACTGTCAATAGATGTAACTTCCTTGCTGCCTCAGATTATATCACTTTCACAGCTTTCATTTGGAGTTCTCAGATTGTCAGGGTCCTGGACCCTAAGCATGTTGCTTAAGGTTTGTGGGCAGACTGAGTGGGGTGGAAGATGGCAGGGAGAACAACAGTGAGACAGCTGCTGCCCTGGTCCAGGTAAGAACGGAACAGGGCTGGATTCATGACAGTAGCATTGGACTGGTGAGGAGGGGACTGATTCAAGAACTATTTCAGAGGCAGAATTGATAGGACCTGACAATCTCCTTTGAGGGCAAGAATTGTCCTTCTTTGCTTAACTTGGTTTCCTCCACAATGAGGGAAGTGCAATTCCAAAGAGATTTTCTGTCATATTCCTTGCTAAAGGAAATAAAAATTTACATTTTAGGGACTTCCCTGGTGGCGCAGTGGTTAAGAATCTGCCTTCCAATGCAGGGGACATGGGTTCGAGCCCTGGTCCGGGAAGATCCCACATGCTGTGGAGCAACTAAGCCCGTGCGCCACAACTACTGAGCTGTGCTCTAGAGCCCACTAGCCACAACTACTGGGCCCATGTGCCACCACTGCTGAAGCCAACGCACCTAGAGCCCATGCTCCACAACAAAGAAAAGCCATCGCAATGAGAAACCCACGCACTACACTGGAGTAGCCCCCGTTCGCCGCAACTAGAGAAAGACTGCACGCAGCAACGAAGACCCAACCCCAGCCAAAAATTAAAAAAATAATAATTTTAAAAAATTTACATTTTAATTCTGGCATAGGCTACTTAATGAATGAATAATGCAGTCCCCTTCCTTTCTGCTCAGAGAAACTAAGAACCTATTTACGTTGGCTCACCAGTTAAGTGAAGCAATCGATACATTTCTTTTTTGTTTTGTTGTTGCCTAAGAGGATTTCTGTTACTTGCAACCAAGGATCCTAACTAAAGATCACACATACACAAACTTCTGCCTACAATTTTAGGTATTCACACATCTCCTTCCTCCCCTCCCCCCGACCCTGCCAAGCTCTTGGGCTCCAAGACCTTCAGATTTATTTACCTAACTATTTACTATTTATTTATTGGCTTGTGGGATCTTAGTTCCCTGACCAGGGACTGAAGCCGGGCCTACGGCAGTGAAAGCACAGAGTCCTAATCACTGGACAGCCAGGGAATTCCCCAAGACCTTCAGATTTAGAGTGAGGTCTATCTAAAGTGAATACTCATTTCCAATACTCCATGCTTAATAACCCCGTAGCTGAAGCTTTCAACAGTCAGGAAGGAGGCTTTGCTGACGGGAACCTCTTCTGCCCCTCCACCTCCCTGAAGATTCACCATGACTTCATGAATTAGGAAGACAAATGACATAGAGGGAAGGCAACCACTTCCTGATGTAACCCACTACTTCTCAGGCCAACTCCAAGGAGCCTCGCAAATCACATGGTAGAAAGGGATCACATGGTAGAATGGGAAACTTCAGGACCTGCCTTAGGACACAGTGAGGGCTTCTGGCCTATGCAATACTCCCGCTATGGTAAAGTCATTGAGCAGTGGGATTTCCGCCCCCCCCAAGAGGACAAATTCTGGGATCTAAAAAAAAAATCATCCAGATTATTAGAAGTCTTTAACATTAACGAAAATAACTCATACAGGCATTGACAGTCCTCCAGACTTCCGATGACACTCCTCTGACAGGAGTTGCCTCACCAGGAGTAGAGCTGGCCCTGAATCTGCCCTTACTGTTAACCTTTGGTTGCTGAGTCCATGAAGCAGGGAGACAGCTGAATTGCCCAGTGGGGGTGTCAGCAGTGGGTCAAGGCCTATCGCACAGGTGGGTCTGCTGGGGCACTTTCTACTCTTTGCTGTGTTAGGGATGAAAAGATGTGGCTGAGAAGGGATGATGGACTTAAAGGACTGGAGGGATGAGGTAATAAGGGAGTCGAAATGCTGAAGTCGCAAATCTGGGAGATAGGGGAAAAGACCGGGCTAGATTTAGGCTATGCCAAGTTTAAGATCATAGTCAGAGCTGGCAAGCAAGGAGGAGCTAAGGAAGCGAGGCTGAAGGTGAGGTCAGGATAAAGAGCCAGGTTTGGGGGCCCTTGTCCAGAAGGAAACAGTTTCCAGAGACAGCTTTAGAGTGCCCGCGGTTAAGGCGAATCGTCCAGAGCCTAGGCAGTTCATCACCAGCCTCGAGGTAGGTACGCTGGGCTTCTTTGCTTCCTCGGTGTCCCTGTTCCAGAGAGGGGCGAAAGCAGGGGTGGGGCAGGTGGCTGGAACCGTCTCTTCTGACCTTGAGGAGAGCGTCTCTTTGCGGGAGGAACTGGTCTCGGCTTACACAACCTCCAGCGTTGGGAAGACTCCAGCAAATCCGACGCAGGAGGGCCGAGCCCTTCTCCTCCCTTCTAGCGCCCGGGGCCCCAGGCTGCTCAAACGAAAAGGGCGCTGTGCTCCCGGGTATCTGAGCAAGGATTCTGGGCGCCCAGCGCAGCCTTCCCGCCCCTAAGGTGCCCAGACTGCACCTGCCGCCGTCATCATAGCGCACAGCACGCAACAAAATCCACAACCGGCCTTCCTGGGACCCGAGGCCGGAAAACGGGCCACCCACTTCCGCCGCCAGGCGGAAGTAGAGGGGCATCCGGTGAACCTGCCAGATACTTGTGGCTCACAATGGCGGCCTCCTTGTCCGGGAAGAAGATCGTGTTTGTCACGGGGAACGCCAAGAAGCTGGAGGAGGTGACGGGAGGGGTGGGAAGCCGACCAGGAGGCGGTTGGGGGTAGCGTGTGGCAAGGTTGGCTGGGGAGAAGGCGGAGAAGTGGCTTCCAGGCGGAGGGAAGCACGCGGGTGGAAGAGCAGAGGGGGAACAGAGTCCGACCCGGAGGGATGGGTTCGATCGGGAAGGGGATGGGCCGCGTGGAGTGGACCAGCACGTGTGCGGAGTGGGGGTGACCCGGGGTTGGACTCGATAGAATGAGGGCCTTGACAAATCCGGGCACAGGGGTTGTGAGCTTAGGGGCATCGGGAGCTGAAGGAGTGGTGGGGTCCTTAACACTTGTCCCAAAGGTCACCTCTTAAGCTAGGTCCCAAACCGGGACCCTGACACCCCTCTGGAGCGGATCCAGACCCCGCTGCTGGCCTGGGGTTGGCAGGGGCCGGACAGGGTGTGGGGAGAGGCATCCAAGCTGAGTTCCACACCCCACCACGGTCCAGAAATGCGGTCCTCAGCCTCTCCCAGCCTCTTTCCGCCATCTGTGAAATGGCCATTATGCAGGAGGTCTGCTTCACAGCGCAATGGAGAGGAGTGAAGGAGGCAGTGGATCCAAAGTTCCTGCCTACAGGGACTTTGTGGTCAGCTCTGAGAATTCTGGGGGTTGATGGAACCGCTTTGGCTGCAAATAGTAGAGAGACACAGGGAGCTCATGTAAACAGCCAGGTGACAATCGTGGGAATACAATGGTATGCTGTCCCACAGGGCTTGAGGAGTCTTTCTCAGGAGTCCCTATCGAGGGGTTTATTTGTCCTTCTAGTTCTCTCTGGATGCTCATCCCTTTTCCTTTTGAGGTCTTTCTGCATTTTTCCCTTCTGATGGAGGAGGCAGTAAGGCTTCTGCCAGACATCAGCTCTGATTGGCCTTGCTTGGATCAAAGGTTTGCCCTTACTTAGTCAGCCATGGTCAAGGAGGTGGGTCATGTGTGGGGAGTCAGGATGACACCCACTAGATGTCTGAGGCAGATCAATGGGGTGCAGTCATTAGGGTCATTTGTCTACAGCATAGGGACCAATGACACTTGCGTGATGTTACAGGGTGGCCTCAGAAGTCAGAGCCCTGTGCTGATAAAAGGTTTGGGATCTTGAGGCCAGACCAGACAGGCAGACAGGCAGTGCCACACTGAACAGAGCCCCATGCAAGATGGTGGGTGCCAGCTCCCAAGGCCATCTCTACCTCTGGTTGAGAATGTGGCCCTCCCACATTTAAAGAAGAGGGAGGGAATTCCCTGGAAGTCCAGTGGTTAGGATTCGAGCTTTCACTGCCGGGGCCCGGGTTCGATCCCTGGTCGGGAAACTAAGATCCTGTAAGCCATGTGGCACGGCCCCCCAGAAAAAGGAGAAAAAAAAAGAAGATGCTGGAGTGGCCAGAGGAGGCTCACTGGAGAAAATGGACTTGAAGTTGGCCTAAAATAGGGAGTTTTAACTCTTCATCTCATTGGTACCCCATTGGCAGAGTGATGAAGCCTCTGGACCCTCTCTCAGGAAAATATTTTTAAATGTACAAAATAAAATACATAGGATTACAAAGGAAATCAATTCTATTGATTTACAATTCTCAAAATATTATAAATATTTGTGATCCAGTTACATATGCTTTATTAATGCATACCGAGCTGATCTCCCTGTGCTATGCCCCTGCTTCCCACTAGCTATTTTACATTTGGTAGTGTGTATATGTCGATGCTTCTGTCACTTCGCCCCAGCTTCCCCCTACCCCGCTGCCGTGTCCTCAAGTCCATTCTGTATGTCTGCGTCTTTATTCCTGCCCTGCCACTAGGTTCATGGGTACCATTTTTTTTTTTAGATTCCATATATATGCGTTAGCATACGGTATTTGTTTTTCTCTTTCTTTACTTTTTTTCTTTACTTCACTCTGTATGACAGAATCTAGGTCCATCCACCTCACTACAAAAAACTCTATTTCGTTTCTTTTTATGGCTGAGTAATATTCCATTGTATATATGTGCCGCATCTTCTTTATCCATTCGTCTGTCAGTGGACATTTAGTTTGCTTCCATGTCCTGCCTATTGTAAATAGTGCTGCAATGAATATTGTGGTGCATGTCTCTTTTTGAATTATGGTTTTCTGAGGGTATATGCCAAGTAGTGGGGTTTGCTGGGTCATGTGGTAGTTCTATTTTTAGTTTTTACGGCACCTCCATACTGCTCTCCATAGTGGTTGTATCAATTTACATTCCCACCAACAGTGCAGGAGGGTTCCCTTTTTACCACACCCTCTCCAGCATTTATTGTTTCTAGATTTTTTGATAATGGCCGTTCTGACCAGTGTGAGGTGATACCTCATTGTGGTTTTGATTTGCATGTCTCTAATAGTGATGTTGAGCATCTTTTCATGTGCCTCTTGGCCATCTGTATGTCTTCTTTGGTGAAATGTCTATTTAGGTCTGCCCATTTTTTAATTGGGTTGTTTCTTTTTTTTAATGTATTTTATTTTATTTTAATTTATTTTTGTTTTTGGCTGCGTTGGGTCTTCGTTGCTGTGCGCGGGCTTTTCTCTGGTTGTGGTGAGCAGGGGCTACTCTTTGTTGCAGCGCGCAGGCTTCTCATTGCAGTGGCTTCTCTTGTGGAGCATGGGCTCTAGGCGCGCGGGCTTCAGTAGCTGTGGCACAGGGGGTCAGTAGTTGTGGCTTGCAGGCTCTAGAGCGCAGGCTCAGTAGCTCGGTAGTTGTGGCGCACAGGCTTAGTTGCTCCGCGGCATGTGGGATCTTCCCAGACCAGGGCTCAAACTTGTGTCCTCTGCATTGGCAGGAGGATTCTTAACCACTGCGCCACCAGGGAAGCCCGGGTTGTTTCTTTTTTTGATATTGAGCTCCATGAGCTGTTTGTATATTTTGGAGGTTCATCCTTTGCTCGTTGTTTCATTTGCAAATATTTTATCCCATTCTGAGGGTTGTCTTTTCGTCTTGTTTATGGTTTGCTTTGCTGTGCAAAGCTTTTAAGTTTAACTAGGTCCCATTTGTTTATTTTTGTTTTTATTTTCATTACTGTAGAAGGTGGGTCAAAAAACACCTTGCTGTGGTTTATGTCAGAGTGTTTTTCCTATGGTTTCCTCTAAGAGTTTTATAGTGTCTGGTTTTACATTTAGGTCTTTAATGCATTTGGAGTTTTTTTTTATTTTTTGGAGTTTATTTTTGTGTGTGGTGTTAGGTGGTGTTCTAATTTCATTCTTTTACATGTAGCTGTCCAGTTTTCCCAGCACCACTTACTGAAGAGGCTGTCTTTTCTCCATTGTATGTTCTTGCCTCCTTTGTCGTAAATTAGGTGACCATATGTGCATGGGTTTATCTCTGGGCTTTCTATCCTGTACCTTGATCTGTATTTCTGTTTTTGTGCCAGTACCATAATGTCTTGATTACTGTAGCTTTATAGTATAGTTTGAAATCAGGGAGCCTGATTCCTCCAGCTCCGTTTTTCTTTCTTAGCATTGCTTTGGCTATTCAGGATCTTTTGTGTTTCCATACAAATTGTAAAATTTTTTGTTCTAATTCTGTGAAGAATGCCATTGGTAGTTTGATAGGGATTGCATTGAATCTGTAGATTGCTTTGGGTAGTATAGTCATTTTCATAATATTGATTCTTCCAATCCAAGAATATGGTATATTTCTCCATCTGTTTATGACATCTTTGATTTCTTTCATCAGTGTTTTATAGTTTTCCAAGTATAAGTCTTTCGCCTCCTTAGATAGGTTTATTCTTAGATATTTTATTCTTTTTGTTGCAATGGTAAATGAGATTGTTTCCTTAATTTCTCTTTCTGATTTTTCGTTGTTAGTGTATAGGAATGCCAGAGATTTCTGGGCATTAACTTTGTATCCTGCAACCTTACCAAATTCGTTGATTAGTTCTAGTAGTTTTCTGGTGGCATCTTTAGGATTTTCTATGTATAGTATCATCTCATCTGCAAACAGTGACAGTTTTACTTATCCAATTTGTATACCTTTTATTTCTTTTTCTTCTCTGATTGCCATGGCTAGGACTTCCAAAACTATGTTGAATAAGAGTGGTGAGAGAGGACATCCTTGTCTTGTTCCTGATCTTAGAGGAAATGCTTTCAGTTTTTCACCATTGAGTATGTTTGCTGTGGGTTTGTCATATATGACCTTTATTATGTTGAGGTAGGTTCCCTCTATGCACATTTTCTGGAGAGTTTTTATCGGAAAAGAGTGTTGAATTTTTTCAAAACCTTTTTCTGCATCTATTGAGATGATCACATGGTTTTTATTCCTTAATTTGTTAACATGGTGTATCACATTGATTGATTTGCGTATATTGAAGAATCCTTGCATCTGATGTATGATCCTTTTGATATGTTGTTGGATTCTGTTTGCTAGTATTTTGTTCAGGAGTTTTGCATCTATGTTCATCAGTGATATTGGACTATAATTTTCTTTTTTTGTGATATCATATTTTGGTTTTGGTATCAGGGTGATGGTGGCTTCATAGAACGAATTTGGGAGCGTTCCTCTCTCTGCAGTTTTTTGGAAGAGTTTGAGAAGGATCGGTGTTAGCTCTTCTCTAAATGTTTGATAGAATTCACCTGTGAAGCCATCTGGTCCTGGACTTTTGTTTGTTGGAGATTTTTTTTATATATAAATTTATTTATTTTTACTTATTTACGTTTGACTGCGCTGGGTCTTCGTTGCTGCGCGTGGACTTTCTCCAGTTGCGGCAAGCCAGGGCTACTCTTCGTTATGGTGCACAGGCTTCTCATTGTGGTGGTTTCCCTTGTTATGGAGCATGGGCTCTTGGTAGGCGGGCTTCAGTAGTTGCGGCACATGAGCTCAGTAGTTGTGGCTCGTGGGCTCTAGAGCATAGGCTCAGTAGGGCGGCACATGGGGTTAGTTGCTCCATGGCATATGGGGTTTTCTCGGACCAGGGATCAAACCTGTGTCCCCTGCATTGGCAGGCAGATTTTTAACCACTACGCCACCAGGGAAGTCCTGTTGGAAGATTTTAAATTACAGTTTCAATTTCATTACTTGTGATAGGTCTGTTTATATTTTCTAATTCTTCCTGGCTCAGTCTTGGAAAAATTGTACATTTCCAAGAATTTGTCCATTTCCTCATGGTTGTCCATTTTATTGGCATATAGTTGTCTGTAGTAGTCTCTTATAATCCTTTGTATTTCTGCAGTGTCAGTTGTGATTTTTCCTTTTTCATTTCTAATTTTATTGATTTGCGCCCTTTTTTTCTTGATGAGTCTGGCTAAGGGTTTATCAATTTTGTTTATCTTCTCAAAGAACCAACTTTTAGTTTTATTGATTTTTGCTGTTGTTTTCATTTCTGTTTCATTTATTTCTGCTCTGATCTTTATGATTTCTTCTACTGACTTTGGGTTTTTGTTGTTCTTCTTTCTCTAGTTGCTTTAGGTGTAGGGTTAGATTGTTTATTTGAGATTTTTCTTGTTTCTTGAGGTGCGATTGAATTGCTATAAACTTCCCTCTTAGAACTGCTTTTGCTGCATCCCATAGGTTTTGAATCATCGTGTTTTTGTTGTCATTTGTTTCTATGTATTCTTTTATTTCTTTGATTTCTCTAGTGTCTCTTGGTTACTTAGTAGTGCACTGTTTAGCCTCCATGTATTTGTGTTTTTTACAGTTTTTTTCCTGTAATTGATTTCCACATAGCAGTGTGGTCAGAAAAGATGCTTGATACGATTTCAATTTTCTTAAATTTTCCGAGGCTTGATTTGTGACCCAGGATGTGATCTGTCTTGGAGAATGTTCCATGTGCACTTGAGAAGGAAGTGTACTGTGTCATTTTCGGGTGGAATGTTCTATAAATATCAATTAAATCTATCGGGTCTATTGTGTCATCTAAAGCTTGTGTTTGCTTATTTATTTTCTGTTTGGATGATCTGTCCATTGGGGTAAGTGAGGTGTTAAAGTCCCCTACTATTATAGTGTTACTGTTGATTTCTGCTTTCATGGTTGTTAGCATTTGCCTTATGTATTGAGGTGCTCCTATGTTGGGTGCATAAGCGATTATAATTGTTATATCTTCTTCTTGGATTGATCCCTCGATCATTATGTACTGTCCTTCCTTATCTCTTGTAACAGTCTTTATTTTAAAGTCTGTTTTTAAAAATAAATTTATTTATTTTATTTTTTTATTTTTGGTTGTGTTGGGTCTTTGTTGCTGTGCATGGGCTTTCTCTAGTTGCGGCAAGCAGGGGTTACTCTTCATTGCGGTGTGCAGTCTTCTCATTGAGGTGGCTTCTCTTGTTGTATAACACAGGCTCTAGGCACGCAGGCTTCAGTAGTTGTGGCACACGGGCTCAGTAGTTGTGGCTCACAGGCTCTAGAGCGCAGGCTTAGTAGTTGTGGTGCATGGGCTTAGTCGCTGCACAGCATGTGGGATCTTCCTGGACCAGGGATCGAACCTGTGTCCCCTGCATTGGCAGGCAGATTCTTAACTGCTGCACCACCAGGGAAGCCCTAAAGTCTATTTTATCTGATATGAGTATTGCTACTCCAACATTCTTTTGATTTCCATTTGCATGGAATATATTTTTCCATCCCTTCACTTTTAGTCTGTATGTGTTCCTAGGTCTGAAGTGGGTCTCTTGTAGACAGCATATATACGGGTCTTGTTTTTGTATCCATTCAGCCAGTCTGTGTCTTTTGGTTGGAGCATTTAATCCATTTACATTCAAGGTTGTTATCGATTGTATGTTCCTATTACCATTTTCTTAATTGTTTTGGGTTCGTTTTTGTGGGTCTTTTTCTTCTCTTGTGTTTCCTGCCTAGAGAAGTTTTTTTAGCATTTGTTGTAAAGCTGGTTTGGTGGTGCTGAATTCTCTTACCTTTTGCTTGTCTGAAAAGCTTTTGATTTCTCTGTTGACTCTGAATGAGATCCTTGCTGGGTAGAGTAATCTTGGTTGTAGTTTTTTCTCTTTCATCATTTTAAGTATATCCTGCCACTCCCTTCTGGCCTGCAGAGTTTCTGCTGAAAAATCAGTTGATAATATTATGGGGATTCCTTTGTATGTTATCTTTTGCTTTTCCCTTGCTGCTTTTAATATTTTTTCTTTGAACTTAATTTTTGTTAGTTTGATTAATATGTGTCTTGGTGTGTTTCTCCTAAGATTTATCCTGTATGGGACTCTGTGCTTCCTGGACTTGGGTGGCAATTTCCTTTCCCATGTTAGGGAAGTTTTCTACTATAATCTCTTCAAATATTTTCTCAGACCCTTTCTTTTTCTCTTCTTATTTGGGACCCCTATAATTCGAATGTTGGTGTGTTTAGTATTGTCCCAGAGGTCTCTGAGATTGTCTTCGATTCTTTTCATTCTTTTTTCTTTATTCTGCTCCTTGGCAGTTATTTCCAGCAGTCTGTCTTCCAGCTCACTTATATTTGTTCTTCTGCCTCAGTTATCCTATTATTGATTCCTTCTAGTGTATTTTTCATTTCAGTTACTGTGTTTTCATCTCTGTTTGTCCTTCAGTTCTTCTAGAACTTTGTTAAACATTTCTTGTATTTTCTTAGTCTGTGCCTCCATTCTACTTCTGAGATTCTGGATCATCTTTACTACCATTACTCTGAATTCTTTTTCAGGTAGCTTGCCTATTTCCTCTTCATTTATTTGGTCTTATAGGTTTTTACCATGCTTCTTCATCTGTGACATACTTTATTACCCTCTCATTTTTTCTGATGGGTGGGATTGTGTTCCTGTTTAACTGGTTGTTTGGCCTGAGGCTTCCAACACTGGAGTTTGTAGGCTGTTGGGTAGAGCTGGGTCTTGGTGCTGAGATGAGGAACTCCGGGAGACCTCACTCCAATGAATATTTCCTGGGGTCTGAGGTTCTCTTGTTAGTCCAGTGGTTCAGACTCAGAGCTCCCATCGCAGGAGCCGTTCACTTGGGGGTTCTTCCCATCTCCTTGGGCGTCAAGGTCCCCCACCACCATCTGGCAGGAGCCCTAGTTGTAGGGAGACACAAACTCTGTGTCTTCCCACGCCGCCATCTTGACTCTGCCCCTTGTAAATGATATTTTGAGATATCTGCTACAACTGTAATGGGATATGACAACATCTGTGATTTTAATAGGTTTAAATATCACAGGAGATGCTAATGCTATTTGTGTTTGTTTTCTATATTCACTATTGAAAGGGATGCTAAATTTCAGGTAGGGGTTAGTGAAAATAAAACGTTTTTTTTTTTTTTTTTTTCCTAATCCAAGTTCACAGATCTCCTGAATTCTGGGTAACCCCTGATAGAAAATTCCTGGCCCAAAGGATAGGTTTTGGGAGCACTGAGAAGGGAAGAGGGTGTTCTAGGTAGGTGGTTAGCATAAACAGAGACCTGAAGTAGGATGGAGGGATTGGAGAGTGAGGAGATGGGGGAACTGACCTGCTGGGGTGGGACCCTGAAGGCTGGGGTGAGGCTCGTGGGCCTGACTTGGTGAGCTTTAGGGGACTGACAGGAGAGTTACCTGACGAGAAAGGTGGGTGACAGCTTGTGTAGTAATGGGGAATAGTTAAACAAATGGTGATAAATGTTCTTTCATTTTGGAACAGGTCATTCAGATTCTAGGAGATAAGTTTCCATGCACTTTGGTGGCACAGAAGATTGACCGTATGTCTCTGATTAGTTCTATTTTTAAAAGATGATTCAATTTCTCTCTCTCTCTGTGACCTGACTGTGTGTCTGTTTCTCTGATAAGTGCCAGAGTACCAAGGAGAGCCTGATGAGATTTCCATTCGGAAGTGTCAGGAGGCAGCTCGCCAGGTGCTTGCTCCACACGTGTCCTGTACTTGCGCCTCTTGTCCTGGTGGCTCCTGGGGTCTGTGCCTGCTGGGGATGGGTAGAGAATATGGTGGGCACAGTTTATAATGACTTGAAGGACGTTTCCAGGCTTAGCTAGGCTGGAGTCAGTTAATATTGGCTCTGGAATACTGCCTTCCTTTCTCAACCTTGACTGCATAGTATCCCCCTAGATGACCACACACACACATAATTCACTCTTCCCAATTCTCAGGTACATACATTCCACCTCTACATTCTCCCCACATACATCCACCCTGCACTCACACATCTCTGTGGAACTGAAAAAGAGTGCTTTGTAAACAGGCTGCTTGAGTATGAATCCCAGCTCTCCTGTCACTGTACCTGGAGCAAACTTTACAACCTGCCAAGGCTTTGATGTCCCTACCTTTAAAATGAAGATAAGAGATTAGTCAACAGCTGTTACCCAGAGCAGATGGACCTCTATCTGCTGCTGCTGTTGCACATCCCAGCTAGCTGTGAGTGTGGCCCTGGCTTGGGTGGCAGGGGAATTCAGGGTGGAGATGGGGCCTGCTGCTGGACGCGGGTCTCAGGGATACATGTTCTTGTGCTGCAGGTGCAGGGCCCTGTACTGGTGGAGGACACCTGTCTGTGCTTCAACGCCCTTGGGGGCCTCCCTGGCCCCTACATGTGAGTGCTCCCCCACCCTTTTGCAGGGCCCTGGCCACAAAACCACTTGAACTTTGAAATGATTTGTTACTTGATACTGCGGGTCATTCACTGTCTTGGCATCAACACCAGTATGTCAGATTGTCTTGAGGGAGGATTAGGGATGGGGAAGAGGCATACCTTTCTTTTGTAAAGTGTGAGAATGTGATTGTGTAAGTTGAGATGGGCAAGGGGAACTCACCCATTGGAGAGGTACATTCGTGGGCAGATCAGTTTCAGGAGAGAGGAAATAAGGAAGTTGAGATCTGCAGATGGATTTCCTTAAAGCTATCCAGTACCCTGGACCCCCTCAGAAGGTCTTTGTGTATCTCTAGGGTACAAATACCCCAATTTGTTAGGTCTTGGGTATGTATACAGTTGACCCTTGAACAACTTGGGGGGGTTAACCTGCGTTTAACTTACAGTTGGCCTTCCATATCAGTGAATTCAACTGTATATTACTGTAGTATTTACTACTGAAAAATATCTATGTATAAGCTAACATATGCAGTTCAAATTCATGTTGTTCAAGGGTTAACTGTATCTTTAACTTTTGGATTGCTAATTTGTTTGCCAAGGCAGTAGCACCCCTACACACTTATAGTGTACATTGCTCCATATTCTTACCAGCACTGTTTTATGACTTTTTAGTATTTTGTAATGGCGGGAGTGGGAAATGTTACCACATGCAATTTTAATTTGCATTTCCCTAATTACCAGTGAGATTGAGGGCTTCACTGGTTTATCAGTTCTTTTGTGGATTGCCTCTTTGTCTCCATTTCCTTTTTCCTATTGGATTATTTCTCTTCATTTTGAGTTGAAACATTCTTTGCTCTCCAGGGCTCTAATCCCTGGGGGATGCAGCCCAGAAACAAGGTGGTAAGAACATCCATCTGATTGTGGTGTCTGACTCACCTTTATTTCTCTTGCAGAAAGTGGTTTCTGGAGAAGTTAAAGCCTGAAGGTATTATCCCCATGTCTCTTTCTTTAGACCTGTTTGAAATTAAGAATCTGTGGGTTCTACGGGAGGAGCTCCAACTAGTAATCAGGAATCTCGGGTTCCATCCCCTTCACGGAGTCTCCATTCACCTCAGTTTCCCCATCTATAATCTACAGCTCACACTCTCCCTATACACCCGGTGCCAGGGAGCACTGAGATTTGGGAGGAGTGGATGGGGTGGGAGTGGGTGGTGAGAGCTTTGTGTTTGAGGGACAAAGGGGCTCTAGTTGATTCTGGCTCAGAGAGGGACTGGCCCCACTTCTTGCTGTCCTTGCCTCAGTGGGGGGCGGGGAGGGGGACACCCTGCTGCTCCTCCTGGTCCCAGCAGCGCATACCCTGAAGCCCACAGTGGTAGAATAAGGAACCCCACATCCCCATCACCCAGCTTCCTGGGTTATCAGCGCAGGGCCTATTTGGTGATATGTATAACTCCCCTTCGCCACCTGGGCCCATTGAGTGCGGAGAGGGGGCTGGGGCCGGGCAGCGTAGAGTGCGCTGAGCCCTCACTGCACGTGCCCGCAGGTCTCCACCAGCTCCTGGCTGGGTTCCAAGACAAGTCGGCCTATGCACTCTGCACGTTCGCGCTCAGCACTGGGGACCCCAGCGAGCCTGTGCGCCTCTTCAGGGGCCGGACCTCGGTGAGTACCCATGCTCGTTCCCCCGAGTGCCGCCAGAGGGCGCTGTGACTCGCGATGATGCTGCAGGACTGTAGTGGGGAGGGCGCGCCCCTGGGTACCACAGCTAGAAGTGCTCTCAATCCCGAAACTTATTTGACCCCTGAGTCTGGTGTTTGGAAACGCACAGTGGCTTACAGCTGTTGGGGCCTGGTATACCCAGAGCTCTGCAGTGTATGCTCTCCTGAAAAGCAGATGTGGAAACTGAAGGTGACAACTCCTAGAGCTACATCTATAGCCCAGACTCCTCCAAGCTTGAATCTCCTCATCCCACTGCTGAGGCAACAGCTTCCCTTGAACATCTCACAGCCTTTCCAACTTTTTATGTTCATATAGAATCTTCCTTCTCCCCCCAACTCATTCCTTTCAAAACTGCCCTTCAGTGCCCCCATGCTTACCTATCAGACCGTAGGTTCAGCTGCTTCTCACAGGGTCCAGACCACCCTCTGGGCTGGCCTGCTTCCCCCCCCCCCACCCCCCCCCTCCGCGCCGCCCCGCCCCCCCCCCCCCCCCCCCCCCCCCCCCGCCCCAGCCCATCCATCCCTTCCCCGTGGCAGGAGTGTACCTTGAGGCACATCATTTCTCTGCTTTGTCCTTTCTGCTCAGGATAGAATCCAGAGTCCCACCATAGCTCACATAGCCCTATGCCAGTGGCTCCACCAGGGACTGTCCACAGATGTTTTACTTTACACTCCCTGATTAGATTTTTAATTTTTGTGGTGAAAAAACAGGTAACAGAAATTACCATCTTCATTTTTAAGTGTACAATACAATAGTGTACACTGTTGTGCACCAGATCTCTAGAACTTTCTCATCTTGCAGAATTGAAACTATGCCCATTGAATAATGACTCCACCTTCCCCTCCTCTCTCCAGCACCTGGCAACCACCATTCTACTTTGTGTTGCTAAGAGTTCAGCTACCTCAGATATATCATATAAGTGGAATCCTGCAGTGTTTGTTTTTTTGTGACTGGCTTATCTCACTTAGCATAATGTCCTCAAGTTTCATCCATGTTGTAGCATGTGACAGGATCTCCTTTTTTAAGGCTGAATAATATTCCATTGTATATATATATACCACTTTTTCCTTTATCCGTTTACAGGCATACCTCGTTTTATTGAGCTTCACAGATATTATGTTTTTACAAATTGAAAGTTTGTGGCAATCCTGCATTGTCAGATGATGGTTAGCATTTTTAGCAATTAAGTATTTTTAAATTAAGGTATGTACACTTTTTTTAGACATAATGCTATTGCACACTTAATAGATTACAATATAGTGTAAACATAACTTTTATATGCAGTAGGAAACCAAAAAATTCATGTGACTTGCTTTATTGCGATAATTGCTTAATTGCAGTGGTCTGGAACTGAACCCACAATATCTCTGAGGTCTGCCTGTATTCATTGATGAACACTTGCGTGGCTTCCACTTTTTGGCTCGTTCATAATGCTGCTATGAACGTGGGTGTGCAAATATCTCTTCAAAATCCTGTTTTCATTCTTTTGGGTATATATCCAGAAATGGGATTGCTGGATCATATTGCCTGGTTACATTTTTAACAGTTAGTTTTAGTGGTCTGCTACTTTCACAGAAATGTTCTCTCAAAAATCAAAAGTATGAGCAACCACAGGCCCAACTTCCTGCACCATGACTGACTAGCAGCTATGCTGCTGACGGGGCCTGATCACTTTCATCCGACCATTCACTATTGTCTCCCCGGCTTGGGCTGCTGTTTGTACTTTGTTGCTGCCAGCCCTGACTTTAACTGAGGTAGCCTTGTTCCTCCTTGTTCTGTTCTCCCCTGTGCTTTCGAAAAAACCCTAGCCACATTGTCCTTTCAGCAGTGTGTATGATAAGCCTTTTCCATCTCTGGACCTCAGCACAGCTGTGTCGTCCACCTAGAATATTCTTGCCCTAGTCCTTTATGTGGCCAAAGTGTCCCCTCCTCACTGAGGCCTTCCCTGAGCTCCCCATCTTGTTATTCTTGAGCCCAGCTCCCAGTTTGTAGCCTCAAAGACACTTTGCATTTGGTAATAATTAATGTTTACTGATGTAATGCTTGTTTTGCTTAAGAGTTCCATTCTGTGAAGGCAAGGCTACGATTTTCTGTTTTCCTGGTGCCTGCTTCGCTGAGGTGTTCAAAAAACAGTTGTTGCATGGGTGAAGTTCAGAGTGGTTCAGTAACTGGCCTCAGTCACACAGCTCCCCATTAGCAGAAGCAGAATTTGCCTTTGGTCTGAATGACTTGGAATTTATATGGCTAATCCCCATCCTCTACTACCTCCCTTGTATTTTATAAGTTGTTTTTTTTTTGTTGTTGTTGTTGTTTTTTTGCGGTACGCGGGCCTGTCACTGTTGTGGCCTCTTCCATTGTGGAGCACAGGCTCTGGACGCGCAGGCTCAGCGGCCATGGCTCACGGGCCCAGCCACTCCGCGGCATGTGGGATCTTCCCGGACCAGGGCACGAACCCATGTCCCCTGCATCGGTAGGCGGACTCTCAACCACTGTGCCACCAGGGAAGCCTGACACTGGTTATCTTTGTCACATTTTCCTTTTGGAATTTGCCTATTACAGCCAGTATTTACTGAGCTCATTTTTGTGTTGAACATTGTGCAAAGTAATTTCTATTTTGTTGTTTCATTTGTTAGAGCCTCCCTTGTATTTTGAGAAATGCAGTAATAGTAGCAGGCACAGGGCTTGGCTGCAAGGTTCAGGGCCCTCAAACTTCCTATTAGGAGAAAATGTTTTCTGTCAGTCTTTCAAAGTTGCTTCTCTTCTTCAGTGAGGTCACAGTTTGTCAAAGCTTCAGAGAGGGAGGCTGGTCCCAGGGGTATCTGTGGGCTAATCAAACATGTGGTTCCTCCCTGTCTGTGGGGAGCAAGCCGTCCTGCTCTGCATTTTATCTGTGTTCAGCAAACATTTGCCGGCACCATGGACCCCTTGAAATAATATATTTTGAGTAAATAGGGTTTAACCAAATTCATAAACTAACCAAACTCAATCTGGCTACTGCCCTCCTCACAGTGCATCTCCTCCACACCCAGTGGCACACCTGTCCCCCTTTCCTCTGGCAGGGCCAGATTGTGGTGCCCCGTGGCTGCCGGGATTTTGGCTGGGACCCCTGCTTTCAGCCTGATGGATATGAGCAGACGTAAGGAGCCCCAGTTTCTTTGAGGGGTGTGGGGTGGGGATGGCCGTGGTCTGGGTTGGGTCAGCGCCCTGCCCAGGTGCAGGCACGCGGATACAGGCGGGGCAGGCTCTGAGGTGCCGTTCCGGCTGAAGGCAGCTCTGCTGGGGTGGATGCAAGGAATCTGGGTGGCCCGGTCCACAGCTGGGAGGCAGCTGGGCATAGCTGAAGTCCTGGGCTCTCGGGCTTAGCTCAGCGCAGAGCAGCTTTGTAGCTTCAGTGGCTTCCCTGCTCTGACCTGGGCTTGTCAGCTTTGTTGGATGACTATCTGACCCCCATTTAGTCTGGAAAAATGTTAGCACTTGGCCACCACGTTACACCCCCACAGTGCCAGGAGTTCTCAGTATTTCATGCTAGCCCCCGCTTATTTACACGGGACATGTTGGCCATTATTGGAATCGGGTTTGTCAAGCTGGAGGGGGGCCCTTAGGGAGTGTGGCCTGAGGCCTCACAACAGCCAGGCAGGGCTGAGGACAACATGAAGCAGCACTTTGGTGACACAAAGGCTCTATATCTGCACTGTGCAATCCGGTAGCCATTAGCCACGTGTGGCTGCGGAGCATCTGAAATGTGGTTAGAGCAACTGAGGAACAGAATTTATTTTTATTCAGTTGTAATTGGTTTAAATGGCCACAGTGGCTGGTAGCCACCATATTTGACAGCATAGATGTGAAAGTGACACCTGGAGTAGGGATTCTTACCTCACTGGAGTCCTGCCATGGATGGCAGGCCACTGGCTGGCTGTTCAAGGCTCATCTGCTGCCCCCTGCCCCCACCTGCCCGGCCCACAGTGCATTGGAGGAGATTGCTGTGTTTGCTCTGTCAGGCCCCACTGCTTCCCGTCAACAGATGACAAAGCTGATAAAGCATGCAGCTCATCCCCCTGTCCCCAGCTTCCCTTTGATGACTTTTGGACACACTAGAACCAGTTTAAGATCCTTTCACACTCATTAATATGGGTTTCTACCTACAGGGGAATTTAAGACTGATTTTTAAAAAATTAACTCTGGTTGCCAGGAGCTGGTAGGCCCACTACCCTTTCCTAGGGACTCTTTGAGCTTTGGGCTCCAGGATGAGGTGAGGTGTACACACCTCCCTGAATCTGGGCCCCCTCTTCTCTGAGCTGCTACTGTTGCCCCTTAGGTATGCAGAGATGCCCAAGGCTGAGAAGAACACCATCTCCCATCGCTTCCAGGCCCTGCTTGAGTTGCAAGAATACTTTGGCAACCTGACTCCACTTGGAGCTGGTGATGACCACTCTGGCTGAGGATCCGGGGAGGGCTAGCCTGAAACCGCCTCTATCAGGCAGGCACCCATCCAAGTACCGCCTTCAGGGTTACCGCTTCCTGGGGGTGTTACCAGCCGTCAGGAGCAGCTGGCTCTGCTTGGAGAAACTTTGGCCAGAGGACACCATCCTCTTGTCCTCAGGGATTCAGTGGTCTCCTACAGCCTCCAGGCCTGGAATCCGGAAAGGACCTTGGGTGTTAAAACTGGCCTTGGCAGGGTTGAGGGTTTGGGGAAGAACCACACAAACAGCCTTAGATGTTTTTTAAATGCAGCAAATAAAAATTCCGGAGGGTACTTGCTTCCAAAGTAAACTGGGTATATTTGCTTTGAAACCTGCCCCAGACAGGTGTCTGTTTCCTGAGTCCCCTTTGGCACGAGCAGGAAACCTCTCAGGTCGGGGGGTGGGGGGCAAAACGGGTGTAGCGGGGTGGCTGGAGGAGGGCAGTGCTGTGTCGAGGCTGTTTGTGTGCCCTTGCTAGCTGGAGTATTATATCTTTCTTTTTGTCCTTGAAGTCTCTGATCATGGGCTGAACTTTTCCATGCCACATCCCTGCTGCCCGCCCACCCAGCCACTGAGCAATGCCACCACCCAGCTGGCCTCTATTGTGTTTGCTGGGTTGGGGGGCGGGCAGTGTGGGATGCTGAGTGCTTTTGCTTTATTCTGGTGTACATTAGAGCAGCTAAAATGTTGGTTTATGGTTATAACGCCAGGTTCATTTTTATGGCAGGGAGGAGGGATGGAGTTCTTGACCCCAGTTGGGTTGACCTGCCACGGTTCAGCCTGGGGGGCCAGCTGAGTTGAGCCCTTCAGGAGGCCCGGCTCAGCTACCCCAGACCCGTACTGAGTCCTGGTGAAGCCCTTCCCTGGGAGGGACTTCAGAGGCCTGGGGTGGCTCCCTTGCCTTCCTGCAGGTGTTACTCTGGTAAAGAGGAGGTGCCCAACCCCAAGGACAATCAGAAAAGCCTGTTGGGGGGCGGGGGGTGGGGGTCCTTAATGCTGGTGTGTCGCTCCCAAGCTTAAGTTACATCCCCTCCTCAGTCCTAGCAGCACGGCCCAGGGCCTAGATTTAACAGTTGTTTCCTCCCCTAAAATTCATCAGCACCCGTGGGTGAGGACAGGACCTCATCCCTTTGCTCCCTTCTTGTCTGTGAAGCCCAGCTGGGTTGATTCCTCAGGAAGTGCCGGTGGTGGTGCTCAGCCTTCTCTGAATTGTCTGCTTGGCGTGGGTGGTGTCCGGCTGGAACTCAGGTGTGGGGTGCTGGGGGGCCTGCTTACTCCTTGCCTGGTGATCCTGGACACAGCCCCACCTGCAGGAAACACAGGCTACTGGGGTGGGGGCCCCAAAGAAGGATCACTTGCCACGTGGCACTTGGAGCGGGGCACCCCTCTGTGTCTGCTCCTCAGCTGCTTCCTCAGAGTTCTGTCCTAGATACACAGTACATTTTCTGTCCCCTTTGAACTTTACCCATCCTGCAAGCAGCACCATGAATGTGCTCATCCCACCCTACCAGCCACTGGGCTCTTCACTGGCCCCAAGCCCCCTTTCCCTGCAGGTTCCTGGCAACATGGCAGAACAAAGGCCTCCTGGACCTTCCATGTTTCCCTGTTGAGCTACGGTGTGGAGTTGGAAGTAATAGCCCTTAGGCGGCACTCAACAAATCAGTCCCTTTTATCCCACCTCCCCTGGGATGGTTTCTCCCTCCTCAGGGCGCTCAGGTGGCCTTCAGAGGCTGGGGCAGGGCAGCATGGATGGAGGCGATATGTAGAAGCATAGAAACAGGAGCTTTATTCTCTAATGTGCATACAGCAAGTTCCTTACACAATCAAGGAAATGGTTTCTCTTTCAGGCTCTTTTATCAAAAGAAAATCCATCCTGCTTAGTCCCACCCTGGGCAGAAGCTGCCCTGAGCAGAGTTCCGGACCCAAAGCAAAAGGCTAATGGGAAGAGGAGCAGACACACACCTTGGAGCCCCCTCAATGCCCAGACACCCTAGGCCAGTTGGGACAGCTGTGAGGGGGTGCAGTACAGAGCAGCACCCCAAGATACCCACACACAGCCACAGAGCCAGCCTGGGAAGACCCAGAGGGATGGGCGAATGGGGTGTGGCCAGGGCCTGGTAGTCAGGACCTCAGTGCTCAGCGTCCATGGCGTCCAGGTACTTGGCTTCAATGATTTGGGGCAGCAGGTTGTAGCTGAGGGGAGGGGGAACAGGCAGGAGGATAAGCATTGGGTCAGGGAGGAACAGGCTGAGGGTAGCCACTCCAGCCCACTGTCTCCCGCCCAGCCGAGTCCCTTCTGCCTGCTGGCCACCCTCCCGTACCGGATGGGGATCATGGCGATCATGATGAGGGGAAAGATCATCTTCATGTAGGGCAGGGTGCTCATGCCAAAGGCACAGAGCAGCAGCAGCTGCAGGACCTGCAGGCCTGTGAAGTAGTGGATCTTCCTCTGAGGCACCCTCCGGATGTAGTGGGTGGGTGGGTACGAGGTCTGTGGGTGGCAGGGACCAGGTGTGGGCAGGTCTGCAGCCATATCCCCCACCCCCACCCCTCACTCTCAGGGCCAGACACTCACTTGGTCCTTGAGCAGCAGGACCATGCGTGCAAACAGCTGGTTGCCGTCGATGGAGGTGAGCGCGATGTAGAGAAAGAGGCCGTAGAGCACAGGCTTGGGGATCCACTGTAGCGGGAAGGGCAGCAGCAGGAGGGAGAAGCCCACCAGGATGCTGGCGCCCAGGGAGGTCAACCGCGTCTCCTTCACACTCACAATCCTGCGAGGTCCCAGCGCACTGGCTCACCTCTGGCCTGGTCCACAGGGCTGTGCCCATCCCAGGCCACATGTGCTTCCTGGGCTCTGTTACTTCTGGGCCCTTATCCCCCGAGCCACATCCTTCCTTAGGTCATATGTGGCCCAGGGCTACCCCCACCCCAGGGTCCACGTGACTCTGGCCTCACGTCTCGAGGGGCCACCTTCACACTCACGTCTCGTAAATGTGCCCATTCTCCACACGCTCCTCCACCAAAGCTAGTGCCCGCACGTGCAGCGGGGAGTGGGGGTAGGCAGCATGGATCCAGGGCAGCCCAAACAGAGACAGCCCGGTGTTGATGATGGCGATGAGCAGGAGGTCCCAGTGGTAGGCAGTGCCCTTTACCAGCCTGCAGCAGGCAGGGTCACATGTGGACAAAGCCCCATGGCCCCTGGAGGGCTGGACACACGCTTACCCCTCCCTCCCCAGCCCTGCGAACCTGTTCTCCGGGGCATTAGCCAAGGCAGCCACCAGGTTCTGCTCGATGAAGAAGAGCATGGAGAGGAGGAAGCCGAGGCCCATGGCGCCGCTGACGGCCACCAGGGATAGTGAGTGCATCTCGGCCATCTCGAACAGGCTCTTGCTTGGGTTGTAGCGGAACTTGCCCACTGCAGCCAGGTACAGGCCCCTGCTCAAGCCTTCCTCCCCCACAGAGCAACCCACCACACCCCACCACACCACACGCCTAGTCCCAACTCACTCTTAATCTCCTGGAAGCCGTAGGAAGAGATGAGGGAGAAGGTAAGCACTGAGATGGGCAAGGCACAGTCTGACAGGATCTCACGCATGTAGGGGTGCAGGTAGGGGCTAGGGAGGCAGGTGGGTGTCAGCGTGGCCTGCAGCTTGTGCTCCCTTCCCCTCCCCCTGAATGGGCGCCCTCACCTCTTCTTGAACTGGTAGAGGGTGTAGCTCAGCCAGAGTGTCCCCAACATGATGAGGAGGCTGAGCACAGCTGTGTCCCGGGCCAGGGGCTCGGGGCCCTGGCTGCCCACTGAAGTCAGCTCTGGTGGGCCGGCCAGGAGGCTGGTGTTGAGGGCAGCGTGGAGGCTGCTGTTGAGGCTGGGGCTGAGGCCCAGCAGGCTCACCGGGGAAGACCTATCTTCGTAGTAGTTCCCGTGGTTGTGGCCACAGTAGTACTTCTGGAAGACTGTGGACACAGGCCAACAGGACTCAGCCATCTGGGCTCTGGGAGCCTGGGGCCCAGCAGCTTCCTCCTGGATGTGGGGGTGAAGGAGCCCCGAGGGGAGGAAGGGATTCTGGGGGGAGGAGGGGAGAGAGCTGGCCTTCTGTCAGCCAGGACCCCTTGGCCTGCCTGTCTACCCACCACCCCACACCCTGCCCTTGTCCATTTCTGACAGCAAATCCTGCTTGGCCCAGGGCCTCTGATCCTGCCTAGGGCAGCTCTGTCACCCTCTAGCACGTGGGCCTGCTGCTCTTTGCCAGTCATGGCTCCCAGAGCACCCTGGGCCATGGAAGCAATCTTAGCGCTTACATGCTTCTTGGCTGCTCTGGGCACAGTCCATAGCCCCCCATCTCAACTCAGCTTCCCCTACACCAGGTGGCCGCCGGCAATACACTCACTTTTGACCATGCCCTTGACAGCATCCAGCACGAATGTGATGGAAATGAACAAAGCAATGATCTCCTCCGTTGACCTGCCAGCAGGGGATATGCCTCATCAGACGGGGTGAGTTGTTAGTAGCGGGGAGGCTTCCCCGAGCCTCAGCATGGCCCCTACCTCCTGCCATGAAGAGGACCAGGGTCCTAGGCTTTCCCCTTGGAGCAGTGATATGGTGGGGGCACCCCATCTGCTCTAGGGTTAACAGGGCCTCAGAGGCTGGCATGGAAGCTGACCCAGGCCCCTGGCTTTGGTCTCCCTCCTGCTTGTGAGTCCCAGAAGCTTAGGGAAGGCCCTGTCACCTCTTGAAGAGACTCATGACCAGGCTGAGGTTGAAGAGGGCATAAAGCGCGAGGAAGAAACTGTTCCACAGGCCTGTCCATGCATAGAAGGTACTGAAGTCCAGATTGTAGTCATCACAGATGCCACGGATCACTGCAGGCGGCGGGACAGGAGTGAGCAGTCAGGGCCAGGCTGGGACCAGGGACCTCAGGAAGCATCTCCCCGCTGCCGCCCCCACTGCACCGTGGATGTAGAGGGCCAGGGGTGCCGTCGTCAGCAGCACCACCAGCGGCTGCCCGGAGAAGAGTGCGTACAAGAGGCCTCCAATGCTCTGCCCAGCTATGGTCTTCTGTACATCTGAGGAAGCGGGGCGGTCAGGGGGGAACCGTGGCCCTGGGCTCCACCCGGCATGCCCCACCAGGCTCCAACCCCTCACCAATGGCCCCGTTCGTGTTCTCATCGTTGAGGGACCCAAAAGCGATCGTGGGCAGGAGGCAGGCGAAGTAGAGGAACAGGGTGGTGGTGATGTATTTGCCCACAGCTTTGTTTTTCCCGATAATGCCTAGGAATGGGAGACAGGGCAGAGGGTGTGTTGGGGACACAGGACAGGCCTGGGGCCTGAGCTATAGGCCGAGCTCCAGGAGGGCCATGGGCCACTTACCATCAGTGAAGTCCAGCGGGTACACAGGGAATCTGCGCGCGATGTCCTCCCGGATGCCCCTCCCCATGGGGAGAAAGTCCTTGTGCCGTGGGGGCTGGGAAGAGGACACGCATCCATCAGCCCTGTGTCCCTGCCCTGTGCTGCCCGCCCAGGCCACCTCTGCCCTGCACCTGCGGGGGTCTGTGGGTGCAGATGGAGCTCATGCTGTAGTCCTTCGTGCTGATGCTCGGACAGTGGCTCATTATGGTGAGCAGCTGTCTCTGATGTACCAGGGCCTCCTTGAATTCCTCCTCCGTGCGGGTCTTCAGGAGCTTTTGGCGGAAGGTGATGTCTAAGAACATCGTGGCAAACGTGCGTCCCACCTCCGTCGCAGTCTTGGTGCTTTTCTGGGGATGGGGCAAGAGAATCACATCTGTAGCCACTGTAGAGCGAAGGGTGCCCAACCCCGGCCTGGCCATTCACGGACAGACATTCCCAAGCACGTGGCAGGTGCTCTCCCCATGACCTGGGTGTAGTCCCCCAGAGTTCAAGCATAGTGGACCCTGCCACGATTTCCACCAGGTCAGCAGATCACTAGAACTACCATCAACCTAGTATTTTTTTTTAAATAAACTCAGGTATTAAATCTGTGTAATTGTGGATAATGAAATCATGATGATGGAGAAAAATGTTCACCCAGCTACTTTTCACTGGTGGCATTTGCACGGTCGGCTGGTTTATGATTTTCAGAGGTGTTCCAGGCCCATCCGGCCTTCTGCCTCTTGCCTGGCCAAGCTCAACCCCGTCCATGAACTCAATGTTCAACCTCCACCACAGCAGCCTGTCTCACCTCCCCATCCTAGGTCCCCTGGGAGCAGCATGCACCACCCCCCCCCCCCCCCACTCCGTGCTGCCCAAAGCTACAGTCCCGGGGCTGCACCGTGCGCACTGTGCTTTCTGGTAGCTTTAGAACAGGCTTGTTCCCCCGAGGAGGAGCCAGGTGTCAGGATATCTGGCGTGTCTCAAGGCACCAGTCTAGCCACTCAATCCTAGGGATTCTATTCCTTCCAGCTGTTCTGGCCACCTTGTCAGCTGTCACTCCCTCTGACCCATGAGCTGCCCGCTGCCCTAAATGCCCTTCCTCTCTCCCCAGCAAAGTAACATCTGGAGAGATTCACGGCATGTCTATGAAAGCCCTAGGAGGGACGATCCCGTTAGCACCCCCTTTGCTTAGAGAAAGCCTGGGGAGGGGCCATCCGAAGCTCTGAGTCTACACCAGAGGCAGGGGCAGAATCATCAAGAAGCCAGTGGAATCTTAAGAATTAAGGCCCTTCCCAGGCCTGGGGAGGGGCCCTAGCCATTTTCTTTTAATGACTTTAAAATCCTTTTCCATAAAAGAAGATTCCCCAAATATACGTATAAGTCTCAGCCCCCACAAAAGCGAGATGCCCCTGGCTGGGGGGTAAATGCCCCAGGAAGGAGTGGGGATCTTTGGTCAACAAATCATAGCCAACTGTAGAGTTAGGGTTGGGCAGGCCAAAGAAAGGCCCCTATGTTTGAATAGTAATAATCTTAAAAAGTATCTCTTGGGCTTCCCTGGTGGCGCAGTGGTTGAGAGTCTGCCTGCTGATGCAGGGGACACGGGTTCGTGCCCCGGTCTGGGAAGATCCCACATGCCGCGGAGAGGCTGGGCCCGTGAGCCATGGCTGCTGAACCTGCACATCCGGAGGCTGTGCTCCGCAACGGGAAAGGGCACAACAGTGAGAGGCCCGCAAACCGAAAAAAAAAAAAAAAAAGTATCTCTTTTCAGTCAGGAAAGAAATAGAACCTTTTGGGCAACTTCTGGGGAAATTAGGCGTTGATGAAGACCTACCAAAGTATGCTTCAGATAAACCCCAGTAGGGCAGAGATGAACAGAGAGGGTGAGAATGTGGCCTTCAGAGGCCAGGACTGTGGTGCCTCCAGCACTGGGAGAGATGCCTCCAAGAAGAGGGCAGGGTAACCTGGAACCCTCCTTCCTGGGAAACAGAGCAGCCACCCGAAACCCCTCCTCACCATCTTGGGTGGGGCCAGCACTAGGATGACGAACCGCACCTCACAGGAATTCTCCCCCCAGTTCTGCGGGCGAACCAGGCGGCTGATGCACACGTGCCGCTTCAGCAGAGCCTTGGAGGTACAGCTGGCAGGGACAGAGAGGGCACACAGCACACAGTTGCCACCCTTGGGAGCTGGGGCTCCCCCCTCCCCGAGCCCCCAACTATGACCCCAGTGACCTCTGTTAGGGAGGAAAAAAAAGACCAAATGGGATGGATTCCTCACTCTCCCCGCAAACTGAGCGAGCCAGCCTCCACAGGGACTGGATGCCTGGCTCCAAGGTGACGTGGGGAGGCCAGTTGTGGCAGCCTGGCAACTCACATGATGCAGAGCCACGACTGCTGGTATTGCACCCCCGTTACTGTAGCAGTGACCCCTTGGATTGTATCTGACAGTAGGTGAACTGCTGACAGAGTGGAAGGAACAGGAGGGTCAGATGGCCCCACCTCCCTGACCTCCCGCCCAGGCAGAGGGACAGCCCTTACCTTTACCCTCCATGGGGGCCCCGGCATCAGTGAAAAGCATGGCCATGAGCAGGTCCAAGTTGCAGTCGGGCTCGGTGTTGTGGGAGTCTTGGGCTAAGCGGCACAGCATGGCCCGTAGCACGTCATCCAGGGAGGTGGCTGTCTCGTTCAGGATGATGCTGGCCCGTGCCAAGAAGCCGTCTAGGTCCCGGTGCGCCCGGATCTCTTCCTCAAAGTTCTTTAACTTCAGGTACTGTGGGGGCCCCACACACAGAACCACACAGGCCCATAAATAAGAAGGACCTGTCGCTGTCTGGGTCCTTCCTCTGTGGTGGTCCCCGGCTGACCCTGCCCACCAGGACCCGACACCCGCTTCCCAGAGAGAAGACCAGCGAGGTTGGCCCCAGCAGCCGGGCCCTGGGCTAGTATGAGATCCAGCATCAGTGTGAGCTCTCTCAGGGAAGCAACCAGCTCCACCCCCAGCTAGTGGCCCAGGACCAAATGTCTCCCATCCGGTCAATGGGCCACTTACCTTGCGGGAGGTGTGTAGGAGACCGTAGCCTCCAGGCGATTCACTCTCTGCTGGAGGAAAGCGGGGGCTCAGGGGGCGGCCCCAGCCCTTCAGGTCTCTCTTGGTGGAGCGGGGCCGTATCTGCCCAGTCCCCAGTCCCCTGCGTGCCTCCCCCGACCCGTCCCTGCTACAACCCCCATACCAGACTGGGTGGGCTGCACCTCGAGGTTGACGTTGACAAAGAAGCGGATGCTCTCGCCAGACACAATGGAGGAGTTGACCGTGTCGAAGGCCTCATCCCCCAGGCTCTCCTCACGGGTTTCAGAGGCATCATCCACGTCACACTTGAGGTAGCCTGGAGCCCCAACCACCACCAAGAGAGACCCCCCCAGAGGGCCTGGCTACACACAGGACAAAGGGGCGGGGGCCCCTGGGCTGTCCCACTTGGTGCAATCTTGGTGAGTGGTAAGGGAGGCCTCTAGCAGGCTAGGAAGGAAGCCTCAGCTAGGCCCAATATCTGATCCTGGCCCAGCCCCCTGAGTATGGCAGCCAGCTGGCACCCCCCACCCAATGGTTTTCTCCAACATTCTTCAGCAGCGGGAACCCTGCACTGCTCTGTGCCACACATATCCTTTAGCTAGAGAAAGAACATGTTCATTCCACAGACACTGAGCCAGGCACATGGTACAATGATGTAGTTAAGACTGACTGGCCCCTGCCTTCTCAGAACCTCCAGGTTGTGGGACCTGGACCTGTCTGGCTCCCCAGAAACGATTCAAGGAAAGCCAGAGCCCTGCAGTATCCGGACCTCATTGGCACAGGGAGGGCATGTGGGGCAAAGCATCAGGGCTGAGAGACCTTAGTCCAACATCAGACAAGGCCCAGGAAGCAAGAGAGCCAGATAAACAGAGCCAGAGACGGAGGTGACAGGACCCCAGAGGAGGCCTCATCTCAGGCCTCCACCCATGGTGGGCGGGGGGCATGTTATGGTACCTTGGGACTCCAGAGCACAGAACCTGCTGCCCCTTTCTTATGGTCTGCCTCTCAGTTCCTGCAACTGACCCCCAACACAGGCCCCCTCCTATAGGAAGCCTTCCTGATGACATGAAAAAGTTCCAATCTGCCCTGAGTCCTGCTGGGGCTCCCCACAGCCTCTGGGATGACAGCCTGAGCCAGACCTGCTACCCCTGGCCCCTCAGGCCCAGTCCCACACCACCCACTTCAATCTCTCCTTAGGCCAGGCGGCCAGCACCCCAGGCATGCCAGCTCCTGTCCTCCAAGCTGAGGGCTTCCCTCCCTGGAGGGCCTTCTTCAAGGCTTGACAGACCCTTTCTTCTCTGGCAAGTCCACCTAGAGCCCTCCCTGCCTTACTCTTGGCCCAGCTGACACCTCTTCCTCACTGTCCTGTAGGTCCCCTGTGGTCCACCACTTGTGATTTACCCAGGGGCCCTTGTAGCTGAGACCCCACCAATGCCTGAAAAACACCTGTGCAGGAACAGGGACGGGTCCGCAGCATGCCTCCACCTGCCAGGCAGTGGCTCACCCTGACTCACTTCCACCCCCTCCCACTGGTTTCCTCTGCACATCCCAGGCCCTGTCCCCCATGTCCTGTGCTCAGTCTGGGCCCTTTCTGGGTAGGAGGCACTAGGCCTCCACTGTCAAGGCCATCATGGACTGGTGACCCCTAACTCCAGGTCTGCACTGCACCCAGAGCCCAGAGAAGAACTATTAAGTCAAAAGATGTCATTCCCCCATTTGTCATGGAGCTCACGTCCATGAAAAACACCTTCCTCCCCAATTCTAGACCTGCTTTGCTTAGAATGCTTGGTTCCCCAGCCCCGAACTGTCCCAACCTCCCTTCTGTCACCCCCACCAGCACCCACTATTCCCCGGCATGCCTCTCACACTGTCCCTCTTCTCCCCTATCCTGGGCTCTATCTAGGACCTACCCAGCAGACACTACCAACTCCCTGCAAGGCTCCTGGGATGCCATGTGTGCCCTATCTCCACCCTATAGCCCAATCACATACCTAACCTGCCCACCAGCAGCCTGGCACATGCAGTCACCATGCCCTGGGGACCGTGGGCAGGAGCACATCACCACTGTGTCCAAGCACTGTCCCACTAAACACCCCTCTGAGGCCAACTCCCGAATCTGGGCTCAGGAGAGGCAGCACAGAGCCAGCCCAGAGATATGGGGAGGGAGAGAGCTAGGCTGGTGCAAGCAGGGAAAGCTGAGGTGCAGAGAGGTTACAATTCTTTAGAGGGACAATGGCAGCCCCTCCCTCACAGGGCTGGGTGGGGTCTGAGGAATGTGGGCACACACAACACTTAGCCTATAAGCTGGTCAGACAACCAGAGCATTGTAACAGCAAAACCATGGGCTATCAGATGGTCCACATAGTGCAGGATGGGAGCAGCCTGCCCTCCCAGGACCACAGGACCACCAGAGATCTGCCAGAGTCCAGGGCAGTGTCAGCTGCCCCTCTGACCACATCACAACCTTCTGGAGGGTAGAATCCAAAGGCATCCCAGCACCAGCAGAGGACCATGAGTACCCAGGTAGATGGACTAGGTCCCCTAGAGACTTTTGACCAAGGAGCTCTCTATATACACACACCCATACCTGAAATGTACTCACCTGCATCCTCAAAGTATCCATTCTGCGACATGATAGAAGAGTTTTCTGCAAGGCAAGCCAAAGAATTGTCACCAGCTCCATGCACCAGCCCCGGACAGTCTACAGGGCACATCTGCTGCCCACCACACACCAGCCCTGCTGAGTCTTTCTTACCCTTCCCAGAGACCCTGGGAGAAAAAGGAGCAGGGGACAGTACAAGACAGGGGCTCCTTGAGGAGCCAGAGGAAGCCAGGCCTGTTATTCTTCAGCCCATCTGCTAGGGGCTGCCCAGGTGGGAAAGGACCAAGGCAGACAGGGAGATGTTTTCAGCATGTTTTCTCCAGGAGTAATTAACAGTACCCGGTGAAGGAAGGGAGGATTCGCTTGTTGCTGGAGTCTGGAGGGAGGAGACCCGTTTGGCCACCTTCCCTGTGGAAGCCGGCCTCCCTCTCTCAAGCCTTCGCTGCCAAGCCCAGTAACTGGGCTGGGGCTCTTCCAGCACATTTCGGCTCTCACTCTCACGTCGGTCCCTGGTGCCATCAACACCCATCACACGTGCAGTTGCCCCCAACCTCACGCGCCAGGGGTCACACTGGGGCGACCCGGCAACGGCCTCCTGCCCTCAGCACCACCCACTTTCTCCTGGGAGGCGGAGCCGTTGGTCCTCTTGGGAGATGCCGCGGGGTGGGGGAGGAAGGGAGCTGTCCGCGCTCTCAGCGCCGGGCCCCGGATGGATGGTCCGGACTGTTTGTGCCTCGCTGTGCGAGGAAGGAAGCGACAGGAAGGGCCGCGTGCACGAGAGGAAAGCGCCTCCAGACTCGGAGACCCTGGGGGTCGGGGGGCAGGATGCGGACGGACTCCCGGGGCGGGAGCCCGGGTGGCATAGAAAGGAGGGGCGGGGTCAGTAAAGCTAGCACCAGAGGCTGCAGGGGTGGACAAAGGACGAGGATGACGATGGGTATGGAAGGGTGGGGATGCTACTCCCATGCGGGGCGGTTCAAGTGCACGTAAATAGACGGTCGTACAAACCCCGGGCGTCAGAGCGGCGACGGAGAGACTGCTGCGGCCGCGCAGGGGACAGTCAGAGGCCCAAGGATCCCTAAGAGTGGGCAGGCTGCCGCGCTGCGCCAGGGGCGGGAAGGTGTCGGGTAGAACGTAAAGTGAGGCTTTCCGAGGTGGCTGCACGCCCGGCTGCGAAGACCCTGGCGCTCCAGGTGCTAGGGACCCCGAAACTCCGCCCCGCCATTTGCAAGCCCCCCACCCCTCCACCAGCTACCTCGTAGGTTGAAAAACTGTTGAGTTTCAAAACGGTGTTAAGTCAAGCGCGCAGTGCCCACGAAGTCGTCCTGGGCTTCCCCCAGCCACCCGCGTACCCACCCGGGCTCCCACTCCCTCGTGGCTGAACTCACCCCGGGCACCCCCGTCTCGGTTGGGAAGCCCCCACGACCCTCTCGCCCACCACGCCGGGGGCCGGTGCAGGCCGGCGGCGTCCGCATTCCCCCCAGCGCCTCGACGGCTCCGCGTCCCAGCTTAGCACGCCTCTGCGACGGAGACCGGACGGCCTTCCAGCCGCAGGCACCCACCGCATGGCTGGAGATGGAACATGCGCCTGGTGGCCGCGGCCATGGCCCCAGCGATCAGCCGCGGGACGGCTGCACACCAGTGCGCACGCCCTGGCTCCTCACCAGGTGCCGCGGGACCGCAACCTCGGCGTCCAGGGCGGGCCGGCGGCTGGAGCCGGTGACACAAGCCTCTGCCGCGCCTGGGTCCTAATGCCGCGCCAACGGTCCTCCCCAGCGCGGCCCGGGCGGGGTCCCGTCCGCCTGCCCCGCGCCCTCACCCGCGCTCCTGTTCAGCCCGGGCGGGCTACTCCCGGGAGCCCGCGGCGACTTAGCCAGAACGCGTAGACTGGGCTTCTTCGGGCCCGCGCGCTGAGCGTTAGGGGCTGAGCGGGGCTGCGAAGTTTCTGGGAAGAAGGTCGGTGAGCTCGAAGACCCTCCGAGTTGAGGCAGTGAGGCGGGTCTGGGTAGGGCCTCCCTGCAGTCGGCTTTAAGCTCTTGGCCGGGCCCCCTCACCACCTCCTCTCGGCAGGGGGCCTCTGCTGGGCCCAGCCCTCCTGGGCCCCGCCCCCTCCATTCATCCCGGCTGCTCGAGCGGTAAATCCTCCTAGTCCTCCTCCAGGAAGCGCGCCCCGACTAACTACACGGGCCGGCGCGCGTTCTCTGGGCTACGCCCTGCCCCGCGGAGCCCGCTGCCCTCCCGGCTCGGCGGCGTCGGGTTTACTGGCAGCGCGCCTCGCGGTTTCTCTCCCGGCCTCGTTGCGCCCTCGGCCTTCTCTTGGGTCAAGGTCTTGGCTTGCGGCTTTTTTCCTTCTCAAGATGGCCCTGCCGCCCGGTTTTCCTTCCCGGACACGAGGGAGCCCGGCCCGGGGACGTGCCTTCTCCGGCGCCTGGTCCTCTGCAAGCAGAGTATGTGTTCGGGGGGAGGGGTGCGGGGTGGGGCGCGAGCTCTCTTGTGTAGGGAGGCGGTGGTGCGCGCGGCCAGGCAAATCCAGCCCATGCGGTGAACCCCTGGTCTGACCCTTGGTGGCTTCTCAGCAAATGAGCACACAGCCCTCAGGCCCCGGATTGACCCAGGAACTCTCCCCATAACAAAGTGTTAACCCCCCATCCCCTCCACACTGGCCACCAGCCTGAGGAATAGCAGCAATCCCCCCATCTGACCTCCTACTGGAAAGGAGTTCTCCGCCTCTGTCCCCCAGGCATGGAAGAGGGCAGGTGAAGCAAGCCCAGGGTGAGCCCACCTCTACGGCGAGGGCTTCCCTGCGGCCCCCAAGGGTTCCTGGCGTTGGGGCAGCCTCATGCATAGATCGGGTGAGGCTGACCTGGTTTCGCCTCCCAGCGAGATAAGAGAGCATTAGGAGCAAAGCTTCATGGGGTGCCCTCCTTGGCAGATGAAGGCCTGGGGGTCAGGATGGCCCGGAGCAACCTGCTCCCTGCTACTGCAGAAGATGCTGCAGAGGAGACCTGCGGGACTCTGACCACGACTGACTCGGGGCGGGCCACATGCTTCTCTGGTTGTGGTGAGCAGAGCTTGGTTGGAGACATGGGGTCACCTCCATTCATGGGTATCCCCTCAACTCAGCCTAGGGACCGTCTCTAGGTCACCATTTAGGTAGACCCGCAGCCCATGGCACAGACTCCCCCAGACAGCGGGGTGGGGGACGGAGATTTGAAGAGGAGCTGAAGACAGGCAGGCTGATTGCCCAGGAAGGAAAGTTCCATGTGGGAGGTGCAGGGGCTGGACCCCTGAAAAGACACCCATTTTGCCCTCAGCCCCTCTCATCTCAGAATGCCTAGGCTTCTACATCTGCCTCCCCATGTCATCAGCAGCTCCCAAACACCTGGACATTCCAAACCAGCTGTTCCTAGAAGCCACCCTGTAATGGAGGGACACCTCTCATCCCCTTACTGCAGCCTCCTCCTTCATCTGAGGCCCTTACGACTGAGCTCACTGAGGAAACAGGAGCCCACAGTCAAGATCTCCCGCAGTGGTCTATGGACCTGACTCTCACAGAAACTGACACCAACCCCTTCTGACCCCTTCCCCACTATAGCCTCCTGCACTCTGCCCCTGTGGTTTCTATTCCCCTGATTGTCCTGGAGAGAGCCCCTGACCCCCACACCCCTGCTGCAAAGTGAGAAGCTGTTTCCTTTAGTCCTCCCACCCACCACCTGCCCTCTGTGGACCAGAGGCTGAGGGCAAATACAGGTGCTCCAGGTCTCCCTCCCCCCACACTCCCCATCTTCCCCCCCACCCTCCATGCCCCAGTGGGTCCTTACACAGGGGTTTTAGGGACCTGGACATAAACACACACATTCCCTCTCATTCCCATCCTTGAAGTCTCAGACTTTACTGGGCTGTGGACACAACCTTGAATTCTGGGTTCCACAAGGCGCTTAATGGCTTTCCGAAGTACTGAGTTTCAACTGAGTTTTCTCCTTTAGCCACTATGCCTATAGATTTTAGAACCTGGAGAAGTAACTCTATAGTATCTCATTAAAAAACAAAACCCAAAATACTCCCTTGAACTCCCCCCTCCAGGTACCACCCATTTCCTCAGTTGCACTTCAGAGCAAATTTCTCCAAGGGTTGTCTCTAGTTCTCTGTATCCATGCCCCTCCTACCTCTCTTCCACCGATGCATACCGATCTTTTGTCCGCACCACTCCACTGAAACTGCTCTCAAGATCATCCTGCCTCAGCTTTCTGCCAGCCCCTCCCCCACCCCCTAGCAGCACCCAACACCACCAATCCCTCCTTTTTAAAAAAAATATTTATTTGTTTTGGCTGCACCAGGTCTTTGTTGCAGCATGCATGAGGGATCTAGCCCCCCGACCAGGGAACAAACCCGGGCACCCTGCGTTAGGGGAGCGGAGTCTTACCCACTGGACCACCTGGGAAGTACCCCTCCTTTTTTCTTGCAACATTTCCTTCTCTCTCTCTCACCTCCTCGGACCTAGGAGTGTTGGCCTGCCCTGGATCTTTCCCTAGATCCATGGCTCTCTACCAGCCACAGCTGGCCACCAGATTTCATGACACCTGTCACTGAGCTCCTGACTTCAACATGGCATAGCCTACTTACACCCTCCCCCCCTACCTGGATGGCTAATAGGGAATTCAGATGATATTCAGGCAAAATAGAGCTCCCGAGTCCACTCTCCGCCACCATCCACCTGGCTGCTCTGGACCTGGGGGTCCCCCCGATTCATTCACATCTGATCCATGAGTAAATTTTGCTGGGTTTACCTTCAAAATAGAGCTCAGTTCTGCCCACTTGCATCCCCAGCCTGGTCCATCATCTGGCCCTCTGACTTGCCCCCACCCATCATCCATTCTCCACCTCCAATGGCTTCTCATGGCATTTAGGAAAAAAATAAAAGCAAACTCCCTGCTGTGGCCTAGGGGAGTAGGGGTGTGGGGTAGGGGGTGCTGTACAACCTGGCACCTGCCTAAATAGGGAAATCCCATCTCATCCCAGACCTCCTGCTCCCAGGGGAGCACTGTTCCAGCCATGTGGCTGCCAACAGTTCCTACAACACAACCGGCCCCCACCTGCCTCCAGGCCTGGAGAGTCTGAGTACTGGAAGGTGTGTCCACAGCTCTTATTGTGGCTCAGTTCATCCTTCAGCTCTCAGAGATGCCTTCCCTGGTCACACCATCTAAAGTAGTTCCTGTTTTCTTCCATCACAGATCCCCATGTCCCCCAACTCTGCAGCACAGCCTTCTTTACTGCCTGGGCTGTCTCCCAGGCTAGACTGGGATCTCCCTGAGAGCAAGGCTATGCTGTCTTTCACCAGCGCAGCACTGGTGTAGTAGGTGCTCATGACATATTGAACACATGACCAACACCTCCATGTACAGTTCCTGGAGGCTTTCAAGCCATGAAGCCGCCCAGATGACCTCTTCAGCTGCCATCCTCCACTCCCACTCAGGTTTTCCAGCCAGATACTCCTGACTCCCTCTGCCTACTTCCTGTCACCTGGACTCTTCAGATGTCCAAGTCCCCGTATTTCTACTTCCAATCTGCCCTCTCCTACTGCCCTCACCTTCCTTGGACCCTTGGCAAGCATGGCTTTCCGCACCTTGCAGCCTTAGGCTTTCCCTGGAGTCACAAGCTTCTTGGGGCTCCTTGCTGCCCAGGGCAGGCAGCCTTGACCAGCATTCCCAGCCCCTTAACAGCCCTTCTCCAGCTGCGGCTGTACCGCCCCCTTGCTGTTCCTGGGAGGAGAGATGATGTTCCCACACTATCCCTCCAGTGGTGCTGGAGGGGGCTGAGGGAGGGAACAGGGCCTCCACTGGCCTCCCCTCTTTCCTGGGGGACACCTCCAGGCCCCCTGGGTAGGTGAGAGGAAGACCTTTTGGTGCTCAAATATCACAGCATGAAGCCTTCTCCCAGTTGCCATCTACCCCTACTGAGGGGAAGATCCAGGTTCCTATAAGGGCAGCCAGGAAGGCAAGGAGCCCTATGGAGGGCCAGAAGGACCTGCTCCCCTCAGGACAATATCCCTCTGTGCCCCCCATACTCAAGAGTCAGAATCTAGTGCTAGACAGCAGGATATTGAGCAGGAAGGTTCCAGAGCTGCCCCACTGCCCTCATTCCTTCTGACCTGGGTTCCAGTTCCACAGCCCAGCTTCTCAGCCAAGAAACCCCTGGCAGACAGACACCACTAAACACTGACCTACTTTCACTCATCCTGCTCCAGGGTATCCCTATGAGGGGCCAGGAATCTGCATTCCCAGCAGAGCTGGCCCCCAAACTTCCCCACCCTCATCTACCCCCAGGCCCCACTTCATTTGAACCCCATCACCAGCCACCTGAGTCCTTCCAAGTGGTGAGTCCAGGTGGCCTATCACCCTGCTGGTCATCACTGCCCTCCTTAGCCTTTATGTGTACCCCACATCCTCCTTATCCATGGCTCTCATTCTCACTGATCCCCCGTGTCAAGGAGCTGCCCAAGGTTCTGCTTCGAGCTCACTATTCAGGGCTGACACTGCCTGCCGCCCCACTTCAGCTGTCTTTCAAATGACCTCCAGCTCCTCCCAGCTCCTGCAAGGAAGCTGGATGCACAGAAAGGAAAAGTTAGTGGGGAAGGCATATAGGGCAACACCCTCGGGCAAATGTTCAGCCTCTTTGCATCTCTGATCCTTTTTATCTATAAAACAAAGAGGTTGAAATCGAGTGCTTTTTTTTTAAATTTTTATTGGAGTATAGTTGACTACAATGTTGTGTTAGTTTCTGCTGTGTAGCAAAGTGAATTGGTTTTACATATATATATATATATATATATACCCACTCTTTTTAAAATTCTATTCTCATATAGGTCATTACAGAGTATTGAGTAGAGTTCTCTGTGTTATACAGTAGGTTCCTATTAGTTATCTAGAAATAGTTTTTTTAGTTAAAAAATTCCATGAATTTTTGGTTATCAAACCATCTTTCCTCCTCCTGTTGTCCTTATTTTGCTATTATTTGTACATTCACCCAGGCATGAAATTTCAGAGTAAAGATGTAAAGTTTCTTAAAATTTTGAAGCTATGAAGGAAAAAAATTAAACCTGTTTATTGGTATGGAAAAACAGTAGTAATGGTAGGATAAAATGGAAATATAGTCACACTTCATTTGGTTAGCTTTTTTTTTTTTTTTTTTACAGATTTATAATCATTTATTAGTTTGACATAAAATTTGTCTACCCTGATGCAAGTTTTTTAACCAAATTATTTTGGCTAGTCAATTTAGCAATGCTGAGGCCTGGGCAAAACAGGAATAATTTGTGGATAAACAAATTTATTTTTCTTCAGATTTCTGGAGAATGAAACAAAAGAATTTTGGAATTGTTTCAAAATGTTGGGGTTTTTTCCACTTTGGCTTTTTCCACTTCTACCTTGAGGTCATTCATCCCTTTGGCTCTTGTTTAATTAGTCATTTCGTCTTGTCAATTGCTCCTTCAAAATCACTCTCTAGTTAGTCCAGTTCTCACCCCCACCAATGTGGAGTAGCATTACAGTCTACATGATCTTTTTTTTCTTTTGGTTGGGTCATTTCCCTGACCAGGGATTGAACCCGGGCCACAGCAGTGGAAGTGCAGAATCCTAACCACTAGACCACCAGGGAATTCCTGATCCTTCTTTTATTTAGGAAAAAAAAAGTATCAAACAGGTTCCCATGGAACACTGGTGTCCCTGGGTATACAGAGGCAGTAGGGAGCCTTTTCTCCATCTTCAGGGGGGCAATTATCTTAGTGAATAGAACATTTTCAAGTTAAAATTTTTCTTCCCTTGTTTAAAAGTCACTACTACCATCACCACCACCACAACAGAACAACTATGTTTGCTATCACTTGTACTAGAAAAGACTAGCAGAAAGCAAAAAAAAATTAAATCAGATAGGTATCTGACTTTAACAGAAAAGCTCAGAAATGGCCTTCAGGTGGATGTGCAATGCTGATCCAGGGGAGCAAACCCTTCTTTGGGGAACTCAGCTCCCAAATGATGTTGAAGCGCCCTCATAAATGTGCAGTGACCCCTGGCCAGGCCAATCAGAATACTCCTGACCACTGTGACTGATTCAGGGATGAGAATGTGACCCCAGATTTTGGGCCTGCCTTTGGAGAGAGAGGTCAGGTCTTGCCTTTGGGGTGTTGGGGCTGTTGGGTGGCACAGAGGAAGCTTACTGCCAGGGGAGAGTGAAGCCATTAAGGACAGAGAGGGGGCTCTGATGACATCTGAGACCAGCTGAACTTGAAGCTGGTACTACCCTGGACTCCTCTTAGAGCAACGAAGCCATTCCCTTTCCATCATGAGCTGGCAGTAGGACTGTGGTCAGATTTTCTTCGGGCATGACTGTTCCCTAGAATATATGATAGAAATTAATACATCAGCATTTCTCTGTGCTCCTCAGAGAGCCTTGTGATTTTCAGCAGCTCCACCTCCTGCTTCAAATCACTTTCCACATGTCTATCCCACCAGGATTCCTTGATTCTGGGACTCTGGCTTGGTCAAGCATGCCCTCAGGGTTCAGTTCAGTAGTCCCTGGCCCCTACTGTGGGCCACTGGTGGGGAGGACCCCTTTCCCCATCCCTGGACTTCTTGGCCTCCAAGTCCTCCTGGCCCTCAAAGATCATCCAGTCCTGGAGCTCTTTGCCATTTACTGTCCCCCCTTCTCTCTGACAATTATTTGGGGGTAATCCCCAAACGCTGGCGGTTTCTGGGAAGTGCAAGCACAGGAGCTCCTTCAAGGTTCAAGCCCTGTAGGATGGCACGTGCGGTGGTGTGTCGGGGGGTGGGGGGTCGGGGGCCGTAGCGGGGAGGGAGGGGTCGTGTTGGGAGGCTCTGGGTAAGCCGGTGCTGAGGAGGGTGTATAGTACTGAGGCCAAGACCCCTCCCCCAATTCTCTTGGCTCCTCGCACAGTTTTGCGATCACATAGAGCCTCCAAACCCAAGACCACCTTCCCAACCATTTGAGGGAGGCTGCCTGTGGAGTCTGCACCCTCCCCCTCAGGCCAGCTCCCAGATCTTCCCAGTGGGTCACTTCCTTCGTGCGGAGGCCCCTGCATTGAGGGTGGGATAGGAAGCAGGGTCTCTGTGGACGCCGGCGGTGCCCCTCCTTAGTCGGCCCTTTTTCCAAAATGACAGAAGCCCCTGCACGGGGTGGGTCCTTGAGAGCTCCGGGGGTTCCGGCAGACCTCTCCCTTAGACCGTGCAGTTCCAAGGCCCGCCTGACCTAGGGAGCGCCAGGAGGGGTGCTCGGATCTAACCCGGCGAGGGCAGTGACTCTGCCACCCGAGCCAACTACTGTCCCTTCACGCCTTGCTCATCCCCCAACTGTAAAGCGGGACGAGCGGCCACCTGACGGAGCTTTGGCCGGGATTAAACCAAGCTACCAGCCTGTGAAGCAGTGGTTCCTAAGGCAGCCTGGCACAGGCGGGGTGCCCCGCAGGCCAAGCGCCGGGACTGCGGATGCGGCTTCTCTGGGTGAGGGTGGGACAGCTTATCTCTGGGGCTCCGCGAGACCCCTGTGCCCACAGCCAGCTTCCTCGAGCCCCTCCTTGGGATCTGGGACTCCCAGAGAGTGCCCACCACAAGCCACGGTGGTCTCCTCATATGAACTGTATTCTCCGCGGCCGCTCAGGGGTCTGGGGAGGGGAGTGGAACTCCCAAGGATTCCTCCTGAGGCAGCCCCAGCAAAGAGGCGTCCCGGGGAAAAACTGCGGGGAGGTCCCCAGTCCCAGGGGGAAGGCCACCTCCTGAACCCCCAGGGACACTTTGGGAATACAACAGGCAACTACTGGAGGCCCTGCTTGTTCAGTGATAAGTTTATTGGTCCTCAGTATTACATCTCAGTTAACAAGATAAATTCACATACACAACTGCAGGTAAAAAACATGAAAATAATATAAAAATAAATTGAAGGCTACTTTTATATATTTACTGAATTAAGTAGTGTAATAAATACTATAATAAGCAAAAAGCTTCAATCACACAATTGTTTCACTGAAGTTACAGCAGTGTTTGTAAATATGAGTTTTAAAATTTAAGTTATGAATATTAAAGCACTGAAAAACTAGTATAAAGTGAATTTTGGCACGTGAGTGAGCTCTTCTGTCATTAGTATTTGACAACCTGGAACAGTGAGGAAGCTATTTCTCACCTACTTTTTGAGGTACAACTATCCATCTAGGTCAGCAACATGGCTGGAATACTTAATAGCTTACAATCTTTGAGTTAACTTTTCCCTTTTGACAAGCCCAAAGAGCAAATCCAGAGCTTATTACTGTGCAAAAAATTTCTGAAATCCTAATAGAATTTAGGAGGGTACTTTTTTTTTTGAGACCCACAAGGCCTGGTGTCCAGGCCTCAGGTCACAGCCCCCAGGATTCTGTGGGGCCAACTCCACTCCTTGCCAGCGGCCCCTTCCTAGGGTGATCCCTTTTCTCCAATTTCTGCCTCCTTCCAATCAAAAACAGAAAAATCCCACATCAAAATGTAAAATAACCTATAACTTCAGCGACTTCAACACTATCACACTCACTCGGGGTGATATAAAACTGAAGCTGCTAATAGAAGAGTGGGCAGAAAGCATGTAAGACCCTGGGGGACTTCTGCCTATCCCTAGGAACCTGATGTCTTTGGCTGGATCTCTGGTATCCACTTCTAAGGTCAAAATTTCAAACACAGTGTCATGGCCCTTCCTCTAGAGACAGTCTTAAGACCCCACACCTCCACCTGGAGTGTCCAGAGGAATCAAGTGGATATTAATCTTCACATCCAAGACCCAGAGGCCCCAAAGGTTACAGAAGGGGCAGTGTGAGGAGGAAGCATCCTCCCGGCCTCAGTCCTCAAAGAGCTCACACAGCGCACCGCTAGTGTGCCTCTTCACCAGGGGCACTGCAAGTACGCCCCAAGGAATGCCCTTTCGCCAGTGTGCCCTTCACACTCCCAAGCAGGCTGAGGAGTGTCTATGGAAGCCTCAGCCAGTTTTGCCTTTTTGGCTTTGAAACTTAACATTTTGACTTTTTTCAATCACAGTTTCATATTCAAGTTGAGGTAATCACAGTTTCCCCTCTAACAGGAGAGGAATTGGGACAGTGGGGCAAGTTGGTGAGAGAGCATTTCTATGGACAATGGTCAGAAACCAAGACCATCAGGAGGTACAGCCCCATGCAGTGTTTAAGACCCACTTTTATGGGCGGGCTCCGACCCCTCTTTAAAAACTCTTTTGTGCAGCAGCCAGGAAATGGCTCAAGCTCCTAGAAAGAGAGCTTTCATTTAAATGTTCACAGCAACCCACCTGGAGGAGATGGCCTGTCATCTCCCCCCCGCCCCGCCCCCCGCCCCCTCCCACCCCTGGCTCCCTTTTCTAAGGCTGCTTGAGTTTTTAAAAAGAGCTCGGTAGAGCTAAAGGAAGCTACAGTAACTCATTATTATTTCATCAATTGCACTTAACATCTGTTACTGATTCTGAAGCAGAGGCAGGCCCGTTGTGGACCCCAGCCTCTGGCCAGCTAGAAGTGAGGGGCTCCCAGATGGGGCTCCACACCTGGGCCCTTGTCACCAGCAGCTTTGGGAGCTGAGACTGGAGCACATGGGCCTTTTCAGAAGCCTTTCTTCAAGCAAGAGTTCTTATTAAATGGTATTTGGAGTATTGTTCATTTGGCTTCAAATGAAAAATTTTTTTCTAATATAAGTACACGTTACTAACAAGCCCTTAACAACTGCTTTACTACTTGTATGCAGGACTCTGTGTGACAGACTACATGTGCTCCATCGGTTTTCTGTCTCTCCTCTGCGCCAGGATCCTTTCTCAAAAACCCCTCTACATTACTAGAAACTTTGCTGGTTTTGCCTATGTGCTCCTTCCTAAGGCATGCAAAAAAATACGTGAAATTCAGAAAGCATTTACAATCTAGGCAGCTGAGGCGCTGAAGTCCTAACAGACATCACCTAAGTATCTGTGCCTGCGACCTTCCTCTTCCCCACACTAATTCTGGAGGTCAGGCAAGGGATACACTTGAAATTCCCCTCTGCTTTTTAGTCCAGCTGAAAACAAAGCTACTAGAAGGAATTCTAACTTGGATATTGGAATTCTCCGAAATTCCTGGTCCCCTAGAGCCAAACAATACAAGACTAGCAACGATGCTTGGAGACATGAGATTCCTGAAGGTTGGGCTGAAAACCAGGCCTTCCCTGGCAAGACTGAGGGGAGGTATGGGTGCTGAGACTGAACCCCCTTCAAGTGAAGATGCCCCATAAGTGACCAGAACCCTGGGCGTAAGACTACGCAGTTGCAGGACACTGCCCTTAACAGTGAGGCAAAGCGTCACCAGGGAGACCTGAGCAGCAGTTTTTCTCGTCCCCAAATGAGGTAAACCAGAGTGATGACATGAGGAGGCTCAAAACCAGTCCCAAGGGGGGCTGGTTGTGTCAATTCAAAAGCCACATACTTCTGGAAAGCAACAAGTCTTTCCCCTCTGTTTAGTCCGTAAGGGAAATTCCCTCATTTTAGAATAAGCTGCTGATCTCCACCCAAGCTGTTGGCTCTGTGGGTTGGGATTGGCCAGGGCTTGTGCTGTTCCCTCTAGAACTGGGCACAGGGTCAGCAGGGCCCAAGCCTTCAGTGGAAGGGGCCTAAACAGGGAGGCAGGCACTCCACTGGGGTGAAAGGCTCTCCTGGGGTGGTGTCTGAGGCCCAAGGCCTGTGGTGGCCTGGGCCCCCAGGCATGGCCACAGTTTGGCAGCCAGGATTCTTTATGTCCCAGCAGCCACTCTGTGCAATCCAAATGCTCCTCCCACCCTCACACACTGCTGCAACAGCCCAAAGAAAATACTGTTATCAGAGACCCAGAGGTCCTGGGCTGCCGGCTACGCACAAAGGGCAGCCCCTGTCTGCTCATCCTCCATAAGGACCCCCCTCCCCTGCCAAATCAGTGGTGCAGGTGATGCTCTTCAGCGCTGTATAGAGAATAAAGACAACATGCACTCAAGCCAGCACACAAAGGCCAAGGAGAACAAAGATAGCCCCTCTAGGGAGGGGCCTCTGGAAAAGCTGAGGTTAAGACACCCCGTTTTAAAACATCCATCTCCAGGGTCTTCTTCCTCTAGGGCTTCTGCTCAAAGAGGTCATGATACTCCTGCTGCTCCAGCTCGCGGTTATACTTCTCGATTTCCCGGTTGGCTTCTTCTACGTAGTCATTCATGAACTGGTCCATGACTGGCACCTCATTAAGGAAGAAGGCCCTGAGCCTTGGGGCCAAGGGAGCTGCCCAGGCCAGAGGAATGCGTGGACAGGTGAAGTAGGGGACACTGAGGTAGTGAGTGCTCAGCCTGCACAGAAGGTACCTGACTGGCTTTTTTAATATACTGGCAGCACCACAGCTGCAAAGAATGTGACAGGGGTTGACACAGGGCCCTTCATGAGCTCTAAGAACTGAGCCCTTCAGCTTTCACTAGCCCACAGCAGCACCCCATCCACCTTTTCACAAATTAACTACTGTAATCAGACCCAGTCTCCAACTTGTAAATCATGACTCCCTGATGACCACAGGATGTCACCACAGCTGCATTTAAACTACAACCCCCAGAGTAACCTCAGCCATCACTGAATGAAGAATAAATGTAATTTTAATGACTCTAAGAGGACAAAATGAAAAGTCAGCCTCTGTGGCTTGCTGTGTATTCCCAAACCCAGCCGGCACCAGGGGCTAGGCTATGATGGCTCTAGCAGATACCCTCTTTACAGCCAGGTTTTCACACCCCCCCAGCCTCTCTGCCCCAGATTCCAAGGATACGTGGGTGAAAATCAGTCTTGTCACCAAAGAAGTTGACAAACTGGGTGCCATTATAAAAGTAACCTGCAGGTAGGGGGTCCAGGTGGCGTTTCACCTGTAGGAGAAGAGTCCTGTTAGAATTATCTGACCATTTTCTATCATTCACTCATTCATTAAAAACAAAAACAGGGACTTCCCTGGTGGTCCAGTGGTTAAGACTCTGCACTTCCACTGCAGGGGGCGTGGGTTTGATCCCTGGTCGGGGAACTAAGATCCTGCATGCTGTGTGGTGCGGCCAAAAAAAAAACAACACCCCAAAACAAACAAGCCTATTACCCTAGCAAAATAGCCCACTTTGCCCTGTGGAAGGCTAGGTGTGCCAGGGAATTAACACCATCCTCACAACAGCCATCAAACAATGACTGACAGAGGTTCTCCCACCTCTCAGGGAGGAACTCTGGGATTATTAATGGGACCAAGCCCCAGATGCCAACAGTGGTACTGGTTTGACAATACACGATTCCCTTCTCTTACTTTCCCATTTTCCTAATAGTGTTTTCTAGAATCACTTCCAAAATAAACTACCTGCGCTCAAATCCTTATTTAAGGTGTGCTTCTGGGGAAACACACACTGCCTGCCTTCTGAGGTGCCCATGGTGTCCTCAGCAGGAACACCCAGAGATGCCCAGGCCCTGGAGTCGGAATAAAGGGGCCCTCCTCAAATCCACAGCAGGGGCTTCTGGAAGCCCAGAGTCCTGCCCCACCTGCTCATTACTGGGACTTGTGATGCAGCTCATGCTGAGACCTGGACTCTCTGTCCCTTTTAGCCTTTTCCCCCAAACCCATCAGGAAAAGGCCTCAGTGGGTATGGGAACTGGGGTAGAGCCTGGGAGTCAGCCTGGAGTCTGAGAGGGCTCCTCAAAGGGCCTCTCGTCCTGGCCTCAGGATTTCACAACCTGCCCATGAGCAGCTTCAGGATCTAGAGTTTTTACCTGGGACCTCGCTGGTTTCTCTGTGGTTTATCTAGGACAGAGGAATGGGAGGAGGAAAGGACTTCTGCAGCTGCTTGAACACGGTGACAAAACAGACCTCCATGTCACCTGTTTCTCCCACAGGCACTAGTTCTCCTCAATTTCGTAACCACATCACACCAGAGGCCACGCCGTCCTTCTCACTGAGGCTGCAAGACCAGGTGAGCTGAGGTTTCTCTTTACCCAGCTTCCCTCTGTGGCCTGAGAGAAGCAGGACCTCCAGCATGCCCTACAAACAGCCACCTCACTCAGGAATCCTAAAAGATACAACTGCACAAGAACATCCTTGGGACACTGAGGGGACTTAGGCCCCCAGGGCAGGGTACTCACATGGATGTTCCTGATCTCCTGCTGGGTCAGCATCCCCCTGGTCTTCAGGGCTTTCCTCTGAGGCTTCTGTGCAGAGATGTAAGGAGGTGTCAGTTTTCAACAGAGCTGATGGGTACACGGGAGGGTGAGGGCTCAGGGCTCTGGGGGCCAGTTACATGACTGAGATGCCAGAAAGGGAAGCACAAGCATCGTCATGGACTGGATACAATATCCTGCCTGTCTGTCCCTTGAGAAGACCACTTTCCCATCACAGAGTCCTGCGGGCCAGGGGGGAACAAACGGCAGAAAAGAGACTGATGCATTTGCAAATAGGCATGTTTCTGCCTCTTTGCAGATTCTCAATCCTAGGCCCCACCAGTGACAGACATGCAGACAAAAGAACAACTGGAGGTCTCACAGTCAAATACCATTTAAGAGTCTATCCAGTGAGTTTGAGAAAGACCCAGTCTGCAAGCAGCCATTCCTTAGTATAAAAGACAGGTCCCAACTGAGCATGTACAGAAGACCCAGGCCCCAGCCAACTCTATTTCCAGAGCTCTAGAATAAGCTTAAGCTCAGACTGTGCTAAGAGGCTTAGAACCCAAAGCTAGCAGCATATGAAAGGATTTTAACTCCAGTCCGGATTTTTTTTCTTTGTAGTATTGGACTAAAGATGTTTGTGTGGATCTATAGGCAAGCCTCCTCTTCCCCTGTACCTCTCTCCAGGGCCTCCGGGATCACTGCTGTCTATGCTTGGAGTCTTGGTTTGCAAAGGACTCTAAGGATATCTTTGTTGTTTTTCCTTTCTAGAGAGAGAACCAAAGTACAGGAGATGCTGGGCTCAGAAGACAGGAGAGCCTATGAATTAGGTTCAGCTAAGAAGACATTTTTGAGTTTAGAACACTAAGCTGATCCAGGGTCCACATGAAACAACTAAGTTTCACCTAGGTCCTGGTTAAGCCATCTGATAATAACTCCAGCCTGCCTTGGGAAGCAGGACTGGAAATGGCTTTGAGCACCTGGGCTCGCAGGGTAGGCAGCAAAACAAGTCTGCCTGGAGTTTGCCCCAGGGGCTTCCTCCCACTCTCAGAGTCCCTGAAAACGCTGGCTGAGCCTGTGAGGGGTGAACCAGTGGGGAGAAAGCAGGGAGAAGGTGGAGGGGCTTCTGCCTCAGGTCCATCAACAACTCTGAAGTGTCTGGTCATATCAGTGCCAGGTCTGTCTGGGCTTTGGAAACCACCTGCTTAGCTGACTGCCGCAGCCAGTCCTTGACACTTTCTTCCTTCAGGGAGCAGCCTATGAACACGAGGTAGCATTCCTGCTGCCCGCTGCTGCCTTGAGGTGTGCTTCTGGAGTCAGGCGGTGGCGTGGGTCCCTCCAAAACTGGCACGATGCTCAAGGAATTGGCCAGAGTGTTGTGGCAGACCTCCATGGTCCTCTCAGAGTCTGCAAGGAGAACACTTTAGTCCCTGAGACCCTGCCCCAAAAGGATAAGGCTACACTAAGACTGGATTAGTGCAGCTGTGGGGGACAGATTCACAAGACATGCAGGAGGGAGAACTGACATGACTGGCAGCAAATTAGAAAGGATGAAGTAAGAGAGGGAGGAACAATGTAAGTTTCTAGCTAAGCTGATTGGGTGATCAGGTGGACACCATTAACCCAGAAGGGGACTACAAGAGGAAGAAAAGGTTTGCAAGTGGGAGAAGAAGAGTTTGACTCTGCATCTGTGGCATTTGAAAGACTGTAGGACCCTGAGTGGGAGACATCTACACAGTCATTAGAAGAAGAGAATGGCTGGGGTCACCCCTATGAAAGAGGTAGTTGAGGAGAAGCAAGGAAAGCTCCCTTGGTAGAGGTGGAGGGGGTGGGTCTCAGCTGAGGTCTGAAAGTCCATGGGAGGAGGGCAAGCTCAACAGTACAAGTGCTGCAGGAGGGACACATGCATGGGAACAGGAAAGATGTAATCGGGTTTATAAGCTGAGGCGCTGGGGGCTAAAATATACTGGAGACACAAGGGTAAGGTTCCCCAAAAAGGCATGATGAGAAAGAGATCTAAAACAAAGAAAGGTTTACCTTTAACAAGAAAGGGGTCAAGAGTCAGTCTAAATAAAAAAGAAAAGGAGGTGATGATAGGGGAGAGGGATGAGCAGGTGGGGGTCTGTCAGAGCCTGAGGGAAGTGGGCTTGAGTAAGGGGCTTGTAGAGTGGGGCCAAAGTTTCAGATTCAATAACATAAATTAAGCCAAAGGTTAAGGACCTTGAGAGATTATTTTATAGAGGCTCTGCGACCTAATTCTCCTATCTGAACCCAGATGATTCCATGCTTACAACTCTCAGTGGCTCCCTGCTGCAGACACCCCCGGTTACCTGCCCAGCATCCCCCTCTTCCTCCAATACCAATTCCCCATGGGCAATGGCAACTCGATCCTGGCCAATGAGAGAAGTCTGCTGAGGAACTGATAAAGACACCCACAGGAAGAGCCAGCTTCTTCCATCAGCTAGCTGTTGTGTCTGAATGTGACACCTAGACCTGCAGCACTACCTGGCAACCATGAGGGGTGGGAACCTGAGGAAAAGCTGACACCAAGAATGTAAGAACACAAAAGCCATATATTACCTGGGTCTTCACTGGCTTTGCTATGCTGCCAGACCTCTTGACTTCTTGCTATGTAGCTAACACCTGCTAGTTGAGCTGGGGTTTTCTGTTATAACTGCCAAAGATACCCTAACAGACACACTCCCTCACTTCCTCCCCTGGGACCCAGACACAGTAAACCTTTTTTGGTTCCTGAAACGTGCCTGTTTTTGCCTCACATCCACAGCACATGCTCTGCCTTTTCCCTGGAACATTCTGCTCTTTCTCAATGTTGAGTTAACTGGCTCCTTGTTTTCACACCTTCCCTGAACCCCAGCCCAGGACTGACAGACTTCAGGTTGCAAGGGCTGCAGGGGTCAAAGGCTGATAAACAGGTTTACTGAACGGAGGGGAGGAGAAGGCAAGTGGAAGGCTTGAAGACTTTGGCAGAAACGGATCCAGAGCTGGAAGGCTCAGCATTGGGGTAGCTCCTGGTGACAGGTCTAGGAGGAGGCCATGGATGGCTCAAGACGGGTGGAGTGTGAGTCTCTAGAACAAGGAAGTCAAGGAGCTGTGAGGAGAGGCCCTGGGCAGGTTCATCCAGGGGCAGGAAAACAGATCCTCCACTGCAGAGCAGAAGGACCTGGAGAAAGGTTGGGACCTTGACTGAAAGGGATGACTGGAGGAGCCTATGGTGTAAGACCCAGAGGGGAGGGTTTTTTGAGAGAGTCTAAGAGGCATCAGTGGTCTGCAAAGCACCAGCAGAGGCTATGAACTCACATCATGAGATGTGAGCACTCCACAGAGTAGCGCTCCCAAATCCAAGCGCCCAGTTACCTGAAAACTTCACTTTGCCCAGGATGTGGTAGATGTTTCCAGAGAAGGGACTTGGCTTGATAGAGGACTGAATTGCTGGTGGAGGAAGAGGATAGGGTTGTTACTCACCTGGGGGCAGAGGCCAAGTCCAGGGTGGCACAGCTGGGAGGGTTAGGGACTGGAAAGGCACCTCCTCTAGGGTCCAGGGTTCACAGGTACCCCCACCAGATCTTCCCCCAGTGGCTTTGCCACTATTCTCAGGGGTAAGGGACTCCTGGGTCCTCAAATTCTTCTGCCTGCTTTCAGACCCAAATGGTGAGAAGAGACAGCACACACAGAATACTAAAATGGTGCCAGGAAGCGGCGACAACTCTGGGGCATTCTTTTACCAGTGTCTGGGACATGTCCCGGTCAAGGCTTACCTTTACACTTGGCCACAAAGCGAGTCTTCTCCAAGGGACGACCAAACCATACACAAATCTGAACCATTAATGGAAAGACCGATCCAACATCAAATTTACCTTCATACCTTAAAAGGTTTAAAAAATTATAAATACAAGTAATTGGGGCTTTGAGTGTTACTACATACTACATTGGAAAGAACTACATATCACTTATCATACTTGAATTCTCCCTTAATTGTACGTCATTTTGTGTACAAAGCACTTATTTGAAAGCATTTATGTCTCTTTCATCTTGAGACTGAGAAGCATGTTTGCCCCCTTAGAGCAGGAAGGTCTTACCTTCTTTGGACTAGCAATCCCTTAAAGTCAAAGACCCCCTCTCTACCTTTGAAGCTTGCCAGTATCCCAACTGGGATTAGGGGTCCCTCCTGGTACCTTTGGAGCTCTTCCTCAGGATCCCCTCCCACTCTCTTCAGGGCTCCCACTATGCCCCACCCTCACTGAGGGCAGTTTAACAGACTGTACATTTGGATGTGCAGTCTCTCCAGAAGGAACTAAAGGGCTGGGGCATCTCTGATCTATTTTCTCAGTTTTGAGTTCAGCAGACATACTGACTGCCACAGACTCATTAAGAACGCAGCATTTAAAAAATTTAACTTTTTATTATGGAAAATTTCAGAGATATGCAAAGATAGAAGGGTAGTGTAATGAATTCCTACCACCCAGCTTCCAAAGTTATGAAACTGTCATTCCTTCTTTTGAACGATTTCATTGAGATGAATCCCTTGATTGGAATCAGTCCAGGAGAGGGCATAACATCTCATGGGTAATTTATACCACCCCCAGCAGTAGATGAGTGTACTAGTTTCACAACAATTCCTCCAGCAATGAATTTTATAGATATTTTTGCCTAAATGTAACAGGTGTCAATCAAAGCAACAGTGAGACACCATTTTGCATTTGAGTATTATGTACATGGAATTCTGTTACCACAGTTGCCATCTATACTTGGTCTTAAGTGGACTGTTCACATCTATATAATATGGGTTACTTTTCTTAAATATCTAAACAAGCTTTCCAAATACTATATTAACCCTCCGTCACATTTGATGCAAACACTTCCCTCCAGTCTACTGTATTTTCATATTAGTTTCCTTTGCTTGAAAACTGCACTGCAGTTTTGAATTTTACATTGTTCAAAGTATCTTACTCTTTAAAGCAACTTCTTTAAAGTAAGGTGGTGGCATAACATTTTTGCAAGACTGACATGTTCTTTTTGTTCTCTCCCCATCCAAACATGAGATTTGGAGACCACGGGCTTCTCAGGCTTCTGTGTTCAGAGGCTGTATCCTTAGGGGAATTTGGCGGGGCCAGGGGAATAGTACAAGGTTTCCTTACAGACTAGGAACAAGCCCTTCTACCAGGGGAGGTGGGGGTGGGGTCGATGACAACAGAGGGCTGTGGGAGGGGAATGGCTAAGAATCTGCACAGCACAAAGCTGAGCACATCCTGCAGCTAAGGCCTGTTCACTCTGAGGTGGTGGCCCTCACCCAAGGAGAGAGGGGAGTAATGTACAGCGATGAGCAGGAATCTGATGACTGCCATCTTGTTAAAAGAGTAAATCATCTGATTCCTAGGAAGGAACTTGGAAGGGAGGGCCTGAAGGGTGATTCTGAGGCCCCTCCATCTCTGATCCTCTACAAGGACTGATCTTCCTGATAAAGGAAGATTTCAGACTCTAGATTCACAGAGCCTTCTAATGAACTCCCTCATACCTGTCTCTGTCCTAGATCAGTCTGCCTCCAGAAAAGTCTGTGCCCTGAGCTAGGTTAATGTATGCCATGCCCACAATGAGTTGGTATGGACTGGAGAATAGGTGCTTCCCTAGGCACCAGGTGGAGACGACAGAAGTCTCAGGACCAGGCCCAGAGGTGTGGGCAGCAAAAAGGTCAGTAGCTGCAGCCACTGGAGAGAAGAGTTTCACCCCAGAAGCTCCATCTTTTTCTTTTTAGCTAAGATATTATTGTCTTGTTCAGGCATAAGGAATGATCCACTTACTCACTGTTTAAGTATGATGTGACTCAAACCAGAGGTTCCTTCTAAAAATAAGCCTGAAAACCTTCAATTTTACATATTGACCTTTTTTTTTTTTAAACAGGATAGTACAATCAGTTTTTTGCTGGTACAAAATACTGGTGATGTAAGGGGTGGTTGGAGGACTCACAGAGGTGGCTGAGGGAAGTGAGTGACGATAATAAAGATGATCCAAATCAATATGAGGGATCAATTTTGGCTAAGCTTTAACTGTCTTCCCCTGAACCTTCAACAGAGCAAAACTAGTTATCCATTCCATACAGGGACAAGTGCAGCATGGTGGTTAAGAGTACAGGCTCTGCTGTACAGCAGAAATTAACACAACTTTGTAAATCTATTATACTTCAAAAAAAAAAATAAAGGCTCTGAAGCCACACAACCTGGGTTTGAAACCCAACTCTTTCATTTACTAGCTGTGGGACTTTGGACAAGACATTTAAGTCCTTGCTGCCTCAGTTACCTTATCTCTAGAATGAAGAAAAAAATGGAATCCACCTTGCAGGCTTGGTTTGAGGATGAATGAGATAACACAGGTTGAACTCTTAGAGTGGCACTGTGAACAGAACTTTCTGTGGTGATGGAAATGTTCTGGATCTGAACTGTCCAAGACAGTAGCTGCTAGTCACAGGTAGCTGTTAAGCACTTGAAATGTGGCTTGTGTGACTAAAAGGCTAAATTTTAAATTTTACTTTATTTTTATTAATATACATTTACATTTTATTAACTAGCCAAATGTGGCTAGTGGCTGCTGGACTGGAGAGCGAAGTCTTACAACGTGTAGCACACAGTAAGTGCTCAAGTGATGCTGGAAATATGATTATAGTGCACTTCACACTCTCTTTTCTCTTCCTCTCCTATCTGGAGGACAGGTTCAGGCTAGGAGGCCACCTGCAGAGCACAGAACATCCCCTGGGCCACAACAGCAGGGAACCTACCTGTCAGATGGGAACCCTAGAGGACTGACTATTCTCAGGAGAGACTCTCTCACCCGGGAGGGTCATAACTCCTTGGTTCCATGCCGGCCACCTCACTCTCACTAGAGGCTAGAGGAAACAAAGGATACCATTGTGCTTAAGGCCTATAAGATGACTCCTTAAGTCTCAACATCCAGCAAGGGTCTCAATTTGGACCCCAAGATGTGGATCACTGGGCTTCCAGCAAGGCCAGTGGTTACTGGGACATGGCAGGCTGTTGCAGCTGCCATTGTCACCCTCCTAGAGCACACCTGGTATTTTCACTTTCTTTTTCTTTCCTGTAAATAAATAAATCACTGAGTTTATAAAGAAATCTTAGCTACTTTTCAATGATGATACTTGCCAGCCAGGGTACATTAGATATCGAGATCGTAGCATCTGAGGACTCGAAAAACTATTTTCTGAGAGAATCAGTTCAATGTCTTCATTCCTTTGAAAACATACAGAAAATCCAGGTTAATTAGAACTATTAACCTTAACCTGTACATTCTGCTTACTCTCTACACCCCCATACACACATACAAGTACATGCATATATTTTTTTTTCTGTTATTTCACCCCTAAATACTTTACTATGCATCTCTAAGAACAAGCACATTCTCTTGAAGAACCACAACAGTATAATCACACTGAGGGAATTTAATACTGAGGACAAGCAGCACTGGTATCACATGGGAGCTTGGTGGAAATGCAGGATCTCCAGCCTACTCCAGACCTACTGAATCAGAACCCTCATTTTAATAAGATCCCCAAGAGGTTCATATGCACATTAAAGTTGGAGAAGTATTGATATAATATACATCCATTTTCAAATTTCCCCTTTTTGGGGGGATAGGGCACTCAGGATCCAATCAAGGATTGCTCATTAATTTATAATCTTTATTTTCCTTCAGTCTGGAACAATTCCTCCAACTTTTTTTGTTTGTTACTCATTTTTTTTTTTTTTTTTTTGCGGTATGTGGCCCTCTCACTGCCGTGGCCTCTCCCGCCGCGGAGCACAGGCTCCAGACGCGCAGGCCCAGCGGCCATGGCCCACGGGCCCAGCCGCTCCGCGGCACGCAGGATCCTCCCTGACCGGGGCACGAACCCGTGTCCCCTGCATTGGCAGGCGGACTCCCAACCACTGCGCCACCAGGGAAGCCCGGAGTTGACATTTTTGAAGAGTACATGCCAGCTGTCTTGTGCCCCACAACCTGGATTTGTTTGGTTGTTCCTCATGATTAGATTCAGCTAAGCATTTCTGGCAAGATTAATGGCCAAGTGATGTTGTGTCCTTCCCACAGTGTCACGAAGGAGGCACATGATGTCAGTTTATCCCATTAGTGGTCTTGCTAAGTTTAATCATTTGGTCAATGTCATGTCTTCTAGATTAAACCTCTCCATTGTGAAGGTACTTTTCCCTCTTTGTAAGTAGTAAGCAGTCTGTGGAGTGACAGATACTTTTTATTTATTCATTTATTTATTTAATTTATTTATTTATGGTTGCATTGCATCTTCGTTGCTGTGCACAGGCTTTCTCTAGTTGCAGAACAGCGGGGGCTACTCTTCATTGCAGTGTGTGGGCTTCTCAGTACAGTGGCTTCTCTTGTTACGGAGCATAGGCTCTAGGTGCGCAGGCTTCAGTAGTTGTGGCACATGGGCTCAGCAGCTGTGGGTCACGGGCTCTAGAGAGCAGGCTCAGTAGTTGTGGCGCATGGGCTTAGTTGCTCTGTGGCCTGTGGGATCTTCCCAGACCAGGGATTGAACCCGTGTCCCCTGCACTGACAGGCAAATTCTTAATCACTGCACCACCAGGGAAGTCCCGTGACAGATACTTTGAGACAAGTGAATATCCTTTTCCTCAACAATCTGTCATCCACTGCTTTTAGCATCCATTGATAATTCTTGCCTAAATCAAGTATTATACGAAAGGTTACAAAATAGTGACTTTCTAGTACTATAAATCCTTATTTTTTTATTAGCTAGCATTCTTCTATAAAGAAGAGCTTTACTGATCTGTCCCTCTCCCTTTTTTTAGTATCACCACAGACTCATTTTACTCCACGTGCTATATAATCCATTATTATCATGGTTCTCTCATATACTCAAGTTGTCCCAAATTTGCCTAGTGGGAGCTTCTTAAGCTAGCTTCTGTATCCTTTTGACATATTTCCACTAATCTTTGAATACTTCCCTGCTTTTTTGTCACAAAATGTACTAGGCTCACCTTGTACTTTCACTCCCTAAACCTGCAATCAGCCAATTCTCCAAAGAGTCCTGATACTTTATAGTGGGGATTGGTATTTAGAAATTAAGATCTAGAGGTAGAAGTATTAATTACTATTATTATTTCTAGTCCCTTTTAATGGAAAGGGTATTATTTCTGGTCCCTTTTAATGGAAAGAGCTAGGGAATATACTTTTTTTTTGAAATAAGGAATTTATATCGAGTCCCCCAATTCAACTCCAACATTTGCAGGGTTTTTCCTTACCTTTCCCATTTCATATTTATAATCTCCCTTCTCTAATCAGTGATGTTGTTTGGAATCAGGGTTCCAACAGAGGATTATGCTCAGAAGCTACTTGAATTATTTTGCATATGTACGGCTCTTATTACTTTGGTATACAGATGGATTCACGTTTTTGTTTGTATTTTTTCCCTCCTTGTTGACTTAATTTTTGAATGTGTAAAATATGTGCATTGCTCAAAAGTCAAAACTATATGAAAAGTATACACCTTTTAGCACCTTATTGAGCAAACAAAACTGCTATATGACAAAATGTTTTCATACATACATACACACAAAGTCACTAATTCTCTATTTTTAGTTTGTAACTTGAACCCAGGTCTATGAAGTAAAGATATAATTTCCCCATGTTTCTATGCCATTTCTCTCACATCTTAACACAAAGAACATTGAGAGAGTCTTGACTTCCATCCTTTAATGATGAGAACGTGAATGCATCAAAACAGAACATCTCAAAACAGTACAGGAGGGCTTCCCTGGTGGCTCAGTGGTTGAGAATCTGCCTGCCAATGCAGGGGACACGGGTTCGAGCCCTGGTCTGGGAAGATCCCACATGCCGCAGAACAACTAGGCCCGTGAGGCACAACTACTGAGCCTGCGCGCCTGGAGCCTGTGCTCCGCAACAAGAGAGGCCGCGATAGTGAGAGGCACGCGCACCGCGATGACGAGTAGCCCCCACTTGCCGCAAATAGAGAAAGCCCTCGCACAGAAACAAAGACCCAACACAGCCAAAAATAAATAAATAAATTGCCAATGTGATACATGAAAAATTATATATATTAAAAAAAATTTAAAAATTAAAAAAAAAAAAAACCAGTACAGGATACTAACATGTGGGGTCCTCTTGGTGATTTTTACACAGCATCAAAAGCACTTCAAGGGTTTCCCTGGTGGCGCAGTGGTTAAGAATCCGCCTGCCAGTGCAGAGGACACAGGTTCAAGCCCTGGTCCGGGAAGGTCCCACATGCCGCGGAGCAACTAAGCCCATGAGCCACAACTACTGAGCCTGCGCTCTGGAGCACGTGCTCTGCAACAAGAGAAGCCACCACAATGAAGAGTAGCCCCCACTCGCCGCAACTAGAGAAAGCCCACCTGCAGCAACAAAGACCCAACACAGCCAAAAATAAATAAAAATAAAATAAATTAATTAAAAAAAAAAAAAGCACTTCAAGACCTGACTTTTATAAATGCTCAGGTCTTTGATACAGTGGAAAGACCCAGTGGGCCATAGCCAGACTGCTGCATCTGAGAAAGTGGCTGGTCCTGCGGAGTGAAGTGAACTGGTAAGTTTACCTGGTGACAATCCCATTTTCTGCAAGAATGAAGGCTGCGGAAGGATTGGCAGCTCTGATGAGGCTCTGCAACTGAATGAGGAGAGGGTGCCTCTGCTCTGTGGTGTGACTGGTGAACACCACATTACTCACCAGGCCTGGGGAACAAAACCAAAAACAGTTCAGCCTTTATAGAGTCCTGACTGGGGCTGAGGGTTTGCACAAATGTGAGCCCTTGCTCCCTCCCCTGATCATCCCTTCTAGCAGCCCCCTCATGTAGACACCCGCCACCCAACACTGATATACATAGCCATCATTCTGCTCCTCTTTCTGCCACTGCAACCTCTTGGAGTGAATGGCCTCAACTCTGTAGCTGCCTCACCTCCTAACCTCCTGTCTTCTTAATTCCGCTTTGATACCTGGAGCTTTTTCATCTAAGGGCCCTTTCTATATCCCATGTACTTAACCTCATCAGGAACTGGTGCCAGTGACTTTTCACCAGTTCAGAACACAGACATGTACCAAGCACAAACCATATGTCAGGTGCTAACCATTCTCAAAGAGTGCACAGTCAAGAAGTCTCACCCGTGGACCCACAGTTCCAAGGTAAGCGCTAACAAAGATATTCACAGAGTGACACAGTAAGGAAGGGTGGCGCATGTAAAGAGAGGTTGTGGAGTGGGCCACAATCACTCTCAACCTTTCTGTGAAAATATAGAAGTAAAATCCACAGCACTACAGATAATTTTGAAATCAGAGAATTTGCCACATCCCACCATGCCAACACAATTTTAATACCTCTTCCATACTTATTTTTACATGGCTAGGATCACAGCATACACACCATTTCTGCTATAATACCATTTGCATTTGTGTTATTCAACCATTTTTATTCACTTAATATTGTGAAAATTTCAAACATATACAAAAGTAGAAAAAAATAGTATAATGAATGCCCACGAGCCCATCACTTGGCTTCAAGAAAGATCAACATCTGGCTAACTATTTCTTCTATACCATACCCCAACCTTTTCTCCTTTCCTCTCCTTCCCCACTGGATGATTCTGAAGCCAATAATAGACATCCTATTGTTTCATCCAAAAATATTTCAGTATGTATTATCATAAGGACTCTTTAAAAAAATGAATGATTAACAATAAATTCTTTAATATAAAATATCTAGCCCACATTCAAACTTTTCTGTCTGAAGAATATTTTCTTAATTTTTTGGAAACAGGAACCAAACAAAGCCCATACATTATATTTCACTGATGCATCTCGTAATTCTCTTTCAATCTATAGTTTTCTTCTTACTTCTTTGTGATTTATTTGTTGAAAAACTGCATCTTGTATATTTCTCTCAGTCTAGATTTTGCTGATTGCATCTCCATAGTGTTGCTTAACATGCTAGATATATCTGGTTTATAGATTCAATCTTTTTTATTATAATCTAGTTTTTAAAAAGTTCTTGTTCTTTTTCTAACTTCTTAAGTTGAATGCTTAATTCATTATTTAAAAAAGCCACAATGAGATAGCATTTCATACCTGTTAGAATGGCTATTCTCAAAAAGACAAGAAATAAGTAGTGTTGGTGAGGATGTGGAAAAAAGGGAAACTTGTACACAGTTGCTGGGAATGCCAATTCTATAGTGGTACAGACACTATGGAAAACAGGATGGAGATTCCTAAAAAAATTAAAAGTACCATATGATCCAACAATTCCACTTCTGGAATATACCAGAAGGAACTGAAATCACTATCTTGAAGAGCTATCTGCACACCCATGTTCATTGCAGTATTATTCACAATAGCAAGATATGGAAACCTAAGTGTCCATTAGTGGATGAATGGATAAAGGAGATATAAGATAGATATATCTTATATATATCTATCTTATATATGATAATGATATATATATGAATGTTACTCAGCCATAAAGAGAATGAAATCTTGCCATCTTGCCATGGATGGACCGCAAGGGCATTATGCTAAATGAAATAAGTCAGACAGAGAAATACCGTATGATCTCATTATACGATCTCATTAATATGCAGAATCTAAAAACAAAAACAAAAACAAAAACCAAGCCCATAGATACAGAGAACAAACTGGTGGTTGCCAGAAGCAGGGGGCAGGGGGTGAGAAAAATGGGAGGAGAGAGTCAAAAGGTACAAACTTCCAGTTATAAAATAAATAAGTCGTGGAGATGTAATGTACAGCATGGTAACTATAGTTAATAATACTGTATTGAATAACTAAAAGCTGCTAAGAGAGTAGATCTTAGAAGTTCTCATCATAAGAAAAAATTGTTTTGTAACTAGGTAAGGCAATGCATGTTAACTAGACTTATTGTGATTATCATTTTGCAATGTACACAAACATCAAATCATTCTGTTGTACAGTTGAAACTAATACAATGTTATATGTCAATTATATCTCAATAAAAAGAAAAATTATTTCTTGTTTAGTAACATAGTAACTTAAAGGTATATGCTTTCTTTTGAATTATTTGGTACAGAAATATTCATGACAGGTTGTAGATGGTGTCCTTTATCATTAAAAATTGCCCTTTTATTTATTTACTTATTAGCCGTGCTGTGCGGCATGTGGGATCTTAGTTCCCCGACCAGGGATTGAACCCGTGCACCTTGCAGTGGAAGCACGGAGTCTTAACCGCTGGAACACCAGGAAAGTCCCAAAACTGCCCTTTTTAGACTCTTCAATATTTTGCCTGGTATTCAACCCTGCTGTTATTAATATCAACCTCATTTCTTTTTGTTTGCATTAGTCTGTTATATCTTGTCCGTTCTTTCATCACCATCCTTACTTAGTTTTAGATGCTTCTCTTGTACAGAACATCATATAATTAGATTCTACTTTTTGGTTTAATCTGAGATACTTTTCCTTTTAATAGGTGTTTATTCCATTTATATTTACTGACACTTTGTTTCTGTTACCTTGTTTACGTGGAATTCTATTAAAAAATTTTTTTTTAACTTTTAGCAATATGATTTCTGCATTGTTTTCTGCTTTCCTTCTGACAAGTGGTGGGCTTATAGTCTGTTTTATGTTCTTATGATAGCTATCCTTATGTCACCTTTAGACAATGTCTTTTGACTTTTCCATATGACAGACAAGGAAGTTCATATACCCTTAAATTTGCCCCACTTCTCCACTATCATGTTCTGGTTGGTTACATTAATAATTTTATAGTTCCTCTAGTGGATACTTTTTTTAAGTTTTACTGTTCTTATAAATTTATTTATTTATTTATTTATTTATTTATTTATGGCTGTGTTGGGTCTTCGTTGCTGCATGCGGGCTTTCTTTAGTTGTGGCAAGCGGGGGCTACTCTTCATTGCGGTGTGCGGGCTTCTCACTGCGGTGGCTTCTCTGGTTGTGGAGCACAGGCTCTAGGAGCGTGGGCTTCAGCAGTTGTGGCTCGTGGGCTCTAGAGCGCAGGCTCAGTAGTTGTGGCGCCTGGGCTTAGGTGCTCCGCGGCACGTGGGATCTTCCCAGACCAGGGCTCAAACGCGTGTCCCCTGACTTGGCAGTTGGATTCCTAACCACCATGCCACCAGGGAAGCCCGAGTGGATAATTTTGTATCTTTAAAGAGTATAACTAACTCTTTACAACTTGACTTAACAGCTTTAAAATTTACTGATCTCCCACTTGAGAAGATGTAGAGGTAATCTCTCTCTCGTTGCCTCCTAATTTTTTATTAAATATAATTTCATTTATAGGGTTTTGAGATTTTCAACATTTATATTCTATTTTGTAATAGCATTCTCATAGGTGTTATAATTAATTCTATACCTAAGAAGACTCAATGCTCATCATCAATCTTTTTACTAATAGAGACTAGTTTTTTGTTTGTTTGTCTTTTTTTTGCGGTACGTGGCCTCTCACTGTTGTGGCCTCTCCCGTTGAGGAACACAGGCTCTGGACGTGCAGGCTCAGCGGCCATGGCTCACGGGCCCAGCCGCTCCGCGGCATGTGGGATCTTCCCGGACCAGGGCACGAACCCGTGTCCCCTGCATCATCAGGCAGACTCTCAATCACTGCGCCACCAGGGAAGCCCGAGACTAGTTTTATAAACGATTAGTTCATAAGTGAATGTCTCTAAATTATGAGACTTCAGCTTTCCTAAGTAACCCTGTAATTGTAGGATCCTGAATAATGAATATTCAGTACAGAGGACTCTTACTGTTCACTTCAGTCAAGTGTTTTGTTTTTTAAAAAATTAGCTGTACTTAGTTTTTGAGGGCAAAACTCATAATGTACGGAAGAGTTCACAGAGAAAGTAAATTCCCTTCCTACCCAGCAACCTACTTCTTTCCCTGGAGGCAACCATATTTATCAGAGTTTTCTTCCAGATATGTGCTGAGTATTTACAAGTAAATGTGTATGTATACATTTTTCCCACAAACAGTGGCATACTATACCATTCTGTACCTTGTTTTTTCACTTAAGCCCTTTAAAAAATTTTTTTGGTAAAGCTTACTTCTTCCTTACAATCTTCTCTAATACCGTTATCATCCCAATCCTCCCCTCATGCCACCTTGCTGTCTCCCTTTCTCTGAACTACGAGAGCTCCTTTGAATAACACGGGCAGTGCTTAAAATATAAGGCTTATATTTTTATTTATCTTCTTCATATATGTAAAAAGATAGCATAAGGTAAAGATTAAAGCGTGGGTTTTAGAGCCAAGCAAACCTGAGTCTGAATTTTCGGTTCCACTAATTATTCATGGGTGACATTAGGCAAATTGCTCAACTTTCTCTCTGAGCCCAAATTTCCTCCTCTGTCAGATGGGAACACATACCTCCAGGTTATCTGTGAAATGCTTTATCACAGGCTACAGAGAGTAAGAACTCATTAAATGCAACCTGACACTACTACCACCACCATCTCATCATTTGGGAATGGGACCCCTACATGTACACCAAGGAGCCTGGACTGATTCCTCAGACTGACAGAGGTGGCTGTGGCACACCTTAGCCACAGCAACAAGCAGGAAGGTAAGTCACATGACTCTCACCAGCCTAGGGTGCTGAGCCCATGGTTTAGATGAGTGGCTATCACTGGTTTGAAGGCAACTTCCAGGACCCCTGGCCCCTGCCTCTGGTCTGAGGCAGAAGTTAGTGATACTTCCTT